CCTCCTCCTCCTCCTCCTCCCTCCTCCTCCTTCTCCTCCTCCTCCTCCTTCTCTTCCTCGTCCTCCTCCTCCTCCTCCTCCTCCTCCTCCCCGCATCGTGGAACATGTAATCGTCGTCGTCGTCGTCGTCGTCGTCGTCGTCGTCGTCGTCGGCGTCGGCGTCGGCGTCGGCGTCGGCGTCGGCGTCGGCGTCGGCGTCGGCGTCGGCGTCGTCGTCGTCGCCGTTGTTTGTCGTCGTCCTCGACGTCGTCGTCGTCGTCGTTGTCGTCGTCTTCGTCGTCGTCCTGGGGAGGCGTAGGGAGGTCAGAGGAGGCTGGGCTGGAGGCCCGGAGGAGGAAAAGGCATTCCGAATTTCATGATATCGGCGGCATCCACAAGGGGTGGTGGTGATTCGGGGGCATTCGGATATCACCGAGGGGGGCAGGTTATGCCAGGATATCTCATAGATCTCATGGCCCCCTCTTCTTTTTTCCAGTGCGTCTCCAGTGGGCAGTTGTTCAGTGCAACCGCTGGGGCGTACCTGAGGCTGCTGCGTATGGGCCGGTGCCGCTGGCCATGTGCCCCAGGCAGCTCAGCCGCGACGGCGAGGATTTCGCCATCTTCGCGCTCCCGCTGGTTGCACTGGGGCACCTCGACCTCTTCGTTGACTGTGCTGGGACCGTGGCCGCTCTCAGGCGCGGGCCAGGGGACTCCTCAGGGGACGAGCGGGCACACCTGTGGGGCCCATTCTGGGGTTCCTTCGGGCTCGGGGACTTCACAGTCACGAAAGTCCTCGCTCACGCCACGCACGCCGACGTCGCTGCGGGGAGGACGACCCACTGGGAGCGCGCCGGGAACGCGGCCGCCGACACGTGGGCCAAGCACGGGGCAGAGTGCCACAGCATGCCCGCGGAGGCTGAGGAGCTCACGCTAACGCTGTACGACATCGCCCAGGAGGCCGCGCGCTGGTCAGGGGAGCTCCACGCGGTCCTGGCCGACGAGGGCACCAAGGACTGCGATGGCTTGGAGGCCCGGCCGCAGGGGCAGCCAGAGGGCGGCGCCGAGGTGGAGCTGGTCGTCGGCGACGGCCCTAGCACCGCGCACGCCGAAGCCAGCGGTGGGCCCGCGGCTGTCGACAGCGGCGGTGTCAGAGGGGCGGCACGCAAAGGATCCGGAGCGGCTTCGCATCAGCTCCGGGCTGCCGAGGCCACCGCTCCGGGCCGCCCGCCCCAGACCCTGGTGGCGTGCCTGAGGTGCGGAGCCTATGGCACGAGATACGCTCGCAACCTGGCAGGCACGTGCCACGGGGCAACCACAACCACGCTCCAGAGCCAGAGAGCCCGCCTGGCTGACGGCCGGCACCCGGGGCATCGGCAGTGCCGAACGTGGGTGCTCTCCACGCTGCGGGAGCCAACTTCGGCGGACCTCGCCGCGTGCCTGGGGCCAGACTTCGGCCGCGCACCAGTGGCAGGGCCCACGGTCGGACCCCAGATGGGGAGGGGGGCGCCCAGGCGCATGCTGACCAGGGTTGAGATCTTGGCAGCATACGGCTTGAACGAGGAAGACGTGGAGGCGGCCGTCATTCGCTGGCGCCAGCGGCGGCGCGCCAGGGCCACGGAGGAGGACGATTCCGACATCGAGGAGTAGGTGAGGCTATGCGCGGGGGCTAGCCTCTCAGCGGCTCCGGCGGGGGCGCCGAGCCTGTCTTTTTCCTGTCGTTTGCTTCCCTTGCGGATTTCCATTCCATTCCATTCCATTCCCCCCAACTGGGCCGCGCACACGCCTCGGGCCATGATCCTTGGACGCTTGGACGCCTCTGAAAAGGTTATATTCCGAGTTCCACAACATCGAGGGGGAGGTCTATTTTGTTGGGGCGGGATCTGAGCTGTCTTGGAGTCTTCGGGGGGGGGGCGGGTCTGGGTAAAAGGCCACCCCTTGATGGCTGGTCTGGGGGGGTTCTGGAGTGGCTCGTCTAGGAGGTTTGTGGCCCCCACCCCTTTATGAATTGTGAAATTCGAAGTGCTGATGCCGTTTCCCTTCGCCCGCGTTCGCCTTTTAGGGCCTCGGGGGATGCCTTCGTCGCGACCGCCAGATTCGCTTCGAAGTCCTGGTCAGATTGCACCCCGGGAGAGGTCCGTGGACCAGTTCTTGGTTTCCCCAAAGGCGGCGTGCGAGCAGTGGCGAAGCGCCTTGGCCTGGCTAGATGCCCACCAAAGAATGCTCTCAGAGCCTCTTGTGGTTTGCACGAGGTGTTCTTAACACATTACAGTTCTGGCTGAGGCCCTCAGTGTAGGGCGCCTTCGCCCTTATGTTAGGGCCGCTCTGCCTTCGCTGGGCACGCTAACTCCCCTTAGAGCTAAGCCCGGGTCCGGGGCGCGATCTGGGTTTCCAAGAATCTCGACTAGACGTAAGAGTGACCTTTCGCAGGAGTGACTTTTGGTGCGGGCACAGATGGGTCCCCATATGGCTGAAAACGAAGCAGTAGCAGCTGGTTGCTCGCCCAGGTTTGGTCCCCCCGAGGCTCCCCAAAAGCCGCGCACCAGAGGTCACTCTTCCCCAGGGTCACTCCTGCGTATAGCCGAGAATCTGAGTCGCGGCGAGCGCAAGGGGCGAGCGCAATCAGCGGTATCGTTACCCCCTGGCTTCCCATCAGAGGCAGCGTTCGTCCGCAGGGCCGCCGCCTCGCCGGCCGCGCCCGCCGCGCCGGCGGCCGCTGCGTCGGCCGGCGCGGCGCTGTTCGGGGCGATGGCGGCGGCTGGGCAGCAGGCTCCCCGACCTCCCGACGACGCGGACGACGACGACGACGACGACGCGGACGACGACGACGACGACGACGACGACGACGACGACGACGAGGACGAGGACGACGACGCGGGCGACGACGACGACGACGAGGACGACGACGACTCCGGCGTGGACGCCGCCGCAGGTCACGAGCGGCTCTGTAAGTGTAGCTTTGTCACACCGAACGTTCTCGCCCGGTTTCGGGCCTGGGGGCCCTCGCAGATCGACACGGCTAGGAAGATGCGGTAGACAGATGGGGTCAAGAGTTTCGCTTGTGATGTTTCGCGGTGTTGCATGGATTCGCAACGTTGCGCTCGGTCCTCCCCCTCCCCCCGCGCGGCCGCCCTCGCCCTTGTCCCTCTCTTGCCTGCCGGCCACTTCGCCCTGCCGTTGCCACACGCCGGAGCGGGCCGCCTCTGCCTCGCCGCCGGCGAGACAAAGTTTTCGCAGCGTCGGATCTCAGGGACTTCACCGCCGCTCGGGGCCGCCGCCGCCCGTCGTGCCGCCGGCCGCTCGGCCCTCGCCGGTCATGCCGCTCGTCGCCCGTCGTCCGTCGTGGGTCGTCGCCGGCGTTCGGTCGGCCGTCGTTCGTCACCGCCGTCGTCCGCCGTCACCCGAGCGGCGCGAAACAAAGCAAAGTGGGGCCGTCTGCGCCGACACTGGCGCGTCAGCTGCCGGCGTGAGGTGGCGCGTGAGCGCCCTCGCTTCCAGTGTGGAGTGCCGCGCCGTCGGCCCGCGCAAGCCGCCGCGTCGGGTGGCTACGCCATCTCGCGCGAGGACCCGCTTGGGATCGTCGCTCGCCTGAGGTCCGACGTCGGTGGCGATCTACCGCATTTTCCGAGCCGGATCGATCCGTGATGGCCCAGGGGCCCGAAGCTGGGCGAAGAGGAAGCCCGCTGCGAACAAGAGTCCATGGCCCCGATGTCAGGGGTCGTCGTCGCAGACATCTGGCGTGCGGATTCTTTTCGAGGCACGGGCCGACCACTTCCCTGGGACCAGTTTCTCATCCCGAGTCCCTCTGTTGACGGTTCCGATGCCCGGTGGTAAGGGCCCTCAGAGTCCGAGAAGAGCGCAAGACCTCCCGTCGTGACTCTTTCATGATCCGGTGGGGTCTGGGCGTTGCAGCGGACGTCGTCATTTCCGTCGTGTTCGCCGTCAGTCGTCGTCCGTCATCGTCCCCCGCCAGTTGCGCTCCAGCGCTCCTTGCGCCCAGCTGCCGCTGCGTCTTCGTCGCCGTCGCCGTCGACGTCGTCGTCGTCGTCCTCGTCCTCGTCCTCGTCCTCGTCCTCGTCGTCGTCGTCGTCGTCGTCGTCGTCGTCCTCGTCGTCCTCGTCGTCCTCGTCGTCCTCGTTGTCCTCGTCGTCGTCGTCGTCGCCGCGGCCGCCCGACGGAGGCCGCGGCCGCCAGCGCAGTGCCGGGCGGCGCGGGTGCCGCGGCGGGGGCGCCCGCGGAGGGGCTGTGGGCCGTGGCGGCGTGCCTCGGCGCGGGAGGGGCGCGTGCCCCAGCAGGGCGCCCGCGCAGCGAGGATCCCGGGTCTCCGACACCAGGGCAGGAGCAGGAGGAAGAAGAGGAAGAAGAGGAGGAGGAGGAGGAGGAGGGGCAGGAGGAGGAGGAGGAGGAGGGGCAGGAGGAGGCGGAGGAGGAGGAGGAGGAGGAGGAGGAGGAGGAGGAAGGAGGAGGTCGAGGAGGGAGGAGGAGGAGAAGGAGGAGAAGGAGGAGAAGGAGGAGGAAGTGGATGAAGAGGGAGAAAGAGGGAGGAAGATGGAGGACGGAAGGAGGGAGGGAGGGAGGGAGGGAGGAGGAGGAATAGGAGGACGAGGAGGAGGAGGAGGAGGAGAAGGAGGAGGAAGAGGAGGAGGAGGAGGCTTGATGGGCCTGTTTCCCACCACCACAAATGGGAGGGGGAGGGGGTCCTCCTCCTCTTCGTCCTCCTCCTCCTCCTCCTCGTCCTCGTCCTCCGCCACCTTCGTCCTCCTCCTCCTCCTTCCCCTCTCCAGCTTATGGTGGTGGTGGTGGTGGGAAACAGAGGCTTGGCTTAAGTCGGGCACGTCCCTCTACAGGAGGAATATTCCAATATAGCCAAATGTAGTCAGGGGATGATGTTCTACCATTTTTGTGTACTTTTGAATATGTTTGTGGGTATTTCTGATTTTTCATCCAACATCCGCCTGTAGGGGGACAGGCCCGACCTAACTCTAGGCCTCCCAGATGGGGTCCGAGCAGACGGGGTCGGAGGATCGCGCCGCATCGCCAGTGCATCGGTGATACGGCTCGATGCGGGGCCCGATTTCGTCCTCGCCGGTGTCGGCGATGCATTGCCGACGTCGCCAATACATCGGCGGTGCATCAGCGATACATCGGTGATGCATTGGCAATGCGGCGCGATGCTTCGACCCCATCGAATCAGACCCCCTCTAGGAGGCCTCGGTAAACCCCCTCGAGTCGCGAACAAAACAAAATCGCGGCGGACGGAGTTTCGCTGTTGTCGTCCTCTGGGGTCCCTCGCCAGGCCCCGAGACCGTCAGAAAGCGGCTCGGGCTGAGAAGCCGATCCTGGGGAACGGGTCGACGCCTCGGAGCGTCGAGGTCATGAACAAGTCACGTCGGGGGTCTGGGACGGTCTGACCCTGATGCGCTGGAGCGCAGCACGTGCCGTGTGCAAGGCGTGCGTGCTCACACGCCGCGTGTTGGCTCGGCACGTGCGCATCGCGCCAGGCATGTGCTTTGGCGAACGCATCGCCCCAGCCCAGGCATGCCATGCTCGCGTTTGTGAAGCATCAGGGAGAAACATCAAGGGAGGCTTCGGGCAGTTTTCAGCTGGGGGTCCTCGCCGGGTGAAAAGCTGGCCCTGGGGAAAGGGTCGGGACTTCGGGAGCGCGCAAGTGTTCAAGAAATCAGGACATCGCATGTCTGTGAGCAGGGCCCCGTGCATCAACGATCCCAGATCTCCGACGAATCTTGCGACCCAAGGCGTCCAGCGTCTCAAAAGAATCCAGACGGAGGTTTGCCATCGTTGTCGGTCTCTCGGAGCCCTTACGGGGCCTCGGGGCCGTCAACAAGAAACGACTCGGGATGAGACACCGGTCACGGGGAAGTGGTCGAGATCGGGGGCAGAGCCTCGGAAAAATCGAGACGCCGGGCGTCTGTGTTTGCAGCCAAAGGGTCGGTGGCGAGCCCAGGGGGGAAGTCCGAGGGGGTGGGCCTTCTCAGAAGGCTCGGAAGGCCTCGGGCCTTCTGAGAAGCCCCAGCAAGCCTGCCCCCTCTCAATTCCCCCGGGCTCGCCGCCAAGAAGATGCACCAGAACTCCTGCACCAAAATTTTCAGTTCTTTATTCGTCTATCGATGTGACACAGGCTGGGGCCAGATCCAGATCTCCAACGCTACCATGTTTGCGTCCACGATCCCAGGTCTCCATTGAGATCCTGGCGTCGCAATATTTTCGAGTCAGGCGCTTTTCCCTATAGATGCCGGGCCCCGGACTCGCAGATCGTTCCGACTCGAAAAGTGCGGCAGAAAGGTTGGGTCATGGCTCTCTGGTGGTAATCTGTCACGATGTTGTGTTTTTCCGCGTCGCCGGATCCCAGATGTCCGACGCTCAGGCTTTTGCACTTGGCGGGTTTTCAACGATTTCGACCTCTGGGGCCCGGCATTGGGCCCCGGGACCCTCAGCGGCGGATTCGGGATTGAGAAACTGTTCCCGGGCAGGGGTCGAGAGCTCCGCCTCGGATTGAACAGTGCTGGATCTCTGGGAGGGTGCACGGCTCCTCCTCCTCCTGCTCCTGCTTCTCCTCCTCCTCCTCTTGCTTTTCCTCCTGCTCCTCCTCCTCCTGCTCCTCCTCCTCCTCCTCCTCCTCCTCTTCTTGCTTTTCCTCCTCCTCCTCCTGCTCCTCCTCCTGGTCCTCCTCCTCCTCCTCCTCCTCCTCCTCCTCCTCCTCCTCCTCCTCCTCCTGCGCCTCAGGGTAATGCACTGCCCACCAGAGGGCGGTACGGTCGGGAACTTTGGCTCAGCGTTTCGCTCCCCCTGTGCTGGCCCACCGCGCTGCGGCGCGCCACGCGTTCCACGTCGCTGCTCCCGACCGCCGACGTCCCGAGCTTCTTCCCGCTTCCCGCCCCGCGGAGCGGAGCGGCACGTCACGTGTCCCGCTTGCAAGGCATAGCTTGTCGCCAGGGCCGCCGTCGCCAGGTACGACGACGACGACGGCGACGACGACGGCGACGACGACGACGACGATGACGACGACGACCCCAGCTTGTCGCCAGGGCCGCCGCCGCGACACGCAAAAGTTCCTGGCCGTACACCTTAGGCGATGCTTAAGAAAACTTAAGTTTTCGGCCAGAGTCTCGATTATTCTTAACGTTTCAATGTAAATCCTAAGATTTTAATAGAAATGCTGGTTTTTATTCAAGTTCTGAGACCATGAATTTCTTAACCCATGATTTCTTAACCATTTCGCGTGGTGTACGTCGGGGGCGCTGCCCCTCCAGTGTGGCGGCGCCCGGCGACCGCCCTCTGCGCTGATGGGCAGCCCCCGTCGAAGAGGGGGGGGGCCCCAATTCCATGCAGCTCCGCAGGGAGACGCCGGGGCGGTCGTCGGATCACCCCCCTCCACATGCGTCCTGGTCGTCGTCCTCCTCCTCCTCCCCCTCCTCTTCCTTCTCCTCCTCCTCCTCCTCCTCCTCCTCCTCCTCCTCCTCCTCCTCCGTGCCCTCCCCTTCCGCCTCATCGCCCCCTCCTTTTCACTCGCCCCGCTTGCCTGGAGCCCCTGCGGTCGCATACGGTGGGGATGTTCGTCTGGAGGATTCCTTGTGTGACGAGTGCGGCGGCGACATCCATGGCCAAACCTCAAGTAGCGTTACACCAGCTCTCGGACATTAGGTTCCTGATCCAAGGATTTGCTATTCTATGCCCTCTCTGCACTCAATCGCCACGACCGGAACGATCTTCGACCACTCTGTGCGCTTCGGCGGCCCCAGGGGTGCTCAAGGGCAGGCCTTGGCAGGGACCCAGTGGGGAGGTGGGGGGGAGGGGAGATGTAGGGAGCCATCCTTTCCTTCCTGATCTGGAGATCCTTCCCCCCTCCTTCAGTCCTCCTCCCTCCTTGTCCCCCCCCTTTTTCCCATCGCTGCGGGTTCTCATCAACCCTCGTCCCCTCTCCTTCCTCCTGCCTCCTTCCCCCCTCCCAACGGCGGCCAGCACGACGACCATGGTCACGACGACGACTAGATGTGATGTCGACGATCATGTCGAAGTCGACGTCGGCGATGACGACGACGCCATCCACAACGTCGACGACGACGCCGACACCGACGTGGACGTCAACGTCTACGACGCCGACACAGACGACCTCGACTTCGATCCAGACGTCGGCGACAGTGGGGACCACGGTGGCGGCGGCGACACCGACGACGACGACGCCAACGACGACGACGACGAGAACGACGACGACGACGACGACGACGACGACGACGACGACGACGACGACGACGACGACGACGACGACGACGACGGCGCCGACTGCGCCGACGGCGGCGGAGCCGACGCCGCCGACGACGACGATACCAGACGTCGACGGGCGACGACGGGCGACGACGGCGTCGACGACGACGACGACGGCCAGGTCCTCTTCGCGTTCGGCGCCACCGGGGCAGCGGCACGCGCAGCGGCGGGTGCGCGGGCGCTGCTGCGTCACCGGACCTGCGGGGTCCCGCTCTGGGCCTTCTTCGGCGCCAGCGGCTGTCGTCGCCGCTGCCGGCGGTCGTCGCCGCCGTTTCAGGTCGAGGTCGTCGTCGTCGTCGTCGCAGTCTTCTTCTTCGTCCTGAGCGCAGTCGTCTTCGCCGTGGTCGTGGTGGTCGCCGTCGCCGTCGCCGTCGTCGCCGCCTCCATGGTCTTCGCCGTCGTCGCCCTCCTCCTCGTCCCCTCCCTGCTCCATCTCCCGCTCTGGCTTCCCCCTCCCCCTCTCCTCTCGCACCCTCCCCTCCCCATCCCCCCTCCTCCTCCTCCTCCTCCTCCTCCTCCTCCTCCTCCTCCTCCTTCACCTCCTCCTCCTCCCTCTCCTCCTCCTCCTCCTCCTCCCTCCCCCTCCCATCCTTCCCTGGTCGATGTCTCGACCCATTATTTTTGCACCTTTCTTCCGAGCCCGATCGACCTGTGATGCCCCGGGGCCCGAAACCAGGAGAAGTCGCGCGGTGTGACCAAAATTGCAACGCGCGGATCTCAGGGCACCCTATCCTCATCGTCGCTCGTCGCTCGTCGCTCGGTTTTCGGTGCCCTTCGGTTGCTCATTCTGCTCGGGCGCGCATTCGGGGGTGAGGCCGCGGCGGCGGCGACGGCGACCGAGGTGCGTGCGCGCACAGCTGCGGGGGGCTGCGGCAGCTGCGGGGGGCTTCGGGCAAGCGGAGTTGCCTCCTCGCCCTTTGTCTTTGCCTCGTGCTCCTCCTCATCATCCTCTCTTCTCGTCCCTCCTCTCTACTCCTCTTGCTCCGCTTCCGCGCCCTGCTCCACCTCGTCCTTACCTCTCCTGGGTCCTCTCCGTCTCGATCAGCCTCCTCCTGCTCCTCCTCCTGCTGCTCCTCCTCCTCTTCCTCCTCCTCCCCCTTTTTTTTTCCTATCTCTCTCTCTCTCTCTCTTTCTCTATGTTTTTTTGTTATCTCTCTCTCTCTCTTTCTCTTTCCCTCTTTTTCTTTTTTCTCTCTGGCCAGGGATTCGTCGCTCGGATGTCGGAGCTTCCAGATCGATTGCATTGATTACGAATACTACTCCGTGGAGCGGGAGCGAATGTAGCAGCTTTGTGGCGTGTTGGCATGCTTCTTTCTGTCGGTCATGGAGTGGCCGTGGCTCTTGCGTCTCCCAAGGAGTTCGCCAGCCTGAGAGAGGTCTCTGGCATGCTGTTCGGTCGTCCTTCGGGCAGTACCTCCCTCACCCTGTACCTCGCCACCCATAAGGACAGAATGTATGACCCAACATACAATGCCACGAGGGGGCCCCTCGGGAACTACACCAGCTTCAAATTAGACCAACGTATTTCGTTGGGTAGGCTCCAAAGGGCCTGACAGGCACTCACGGATAAGGTTCAGGAGAAGATGTTTTGGGCTGGAGTTCGTGGGCCTCTCGAGGTATTGCGGCTTAGCTTAGATCGTAATGCTTGGAGCATGCAGTCTAGAATTTGGGTCATGGATGATCAGGGCCTAGTCGTTGGTCTCTTGCAATGACTCCCAAGTCGGTGTGTGAATTGGCACGCCAAGGCGTTGAGAGATGGCAGGCAAGGATGATACTAGAGCACCGTCGAGATTTTCTCTATGGTACCCAAGAGATCGGGCTTCGAGTCCTGCGCACCTGCGTCGGTGGAGCCAAGGCTGCCGTCAAGCAACCGCACTTGGCGATGCTTGGCGGGTGCTCGTCGTGCGCATCGGGCTGGAGGTATTTGGATTCAAGACCGCCAGCACTAGTCAGGATACAATACGTACATAACTTTACAAGATTTAAGGTTCGCTGCGCTTCGCCTTCTAATCTTGGCCCTTTCATCTGGAAGGGAGCTTTCCTCCTCCTCGTCTACTCCCCCTTTTCTCGCATGTTCCTCCTCCTCCCCCTTCTGTCTCTTGCGGCGCCGCCGTCGACCAGGCCAGATGTAGCAGGGCATTCAGCCGCCGCCAACGGCGGTGGCGTCAGAGGATGGACGACGAGCACGACCACGACCACGAGTGCGACGACGACAACTACGACGTCGACGGCGGGGGCGACGACGAGGACGGCGACGACGACGACGGCGACGCCTCCTGCGCAGAGATAGATCCACAAAGTGGCCATTCCTTCATCTCATCCCGATGGCCATTCTCTTCCTGAAGCTCGCATTTAACAAAGCCAGGCTCTTTGAACAGGTATTTGTAAAGGTATTGGAGAGATTCACGGAGCCGGCGAATTTCACATTCGCATGTCCGTCCGAAAGAATGAGAACCGTGGCGTTGTACTCAACAATGAGCCTGTTGCAGCAAACCGCCCGCTTGCCGTAAATAGCTGCGCCGGACGCGCAGTTCGGGCAATGGCCGCCGCAATGCCTTCGACGATGATGTGGATAACCCCTTTCGTCAAAATACGTTTCGTCTTGCGACGGCCAAAGGTATCCCTTGACGCACTCTTGGGAATTGTTGTCTGGGCGACACGAATGGTTGCAGGAGTGTATCCTGCGTTGGAGAACGAGCTGGCGGACAGGGCTTGTGGTGGGGAGCTCGCAAGATATAAAAGTATACACTGATTATGGTGTAGTGGGTGGGGTGGTGAGGGTTATGGCGATGTGGGCGCGCGGCAAGCTTCGGCGTTGATATTCAATAGCTCTGATCACGCATCTCCTGCCTCCCCCCCCAAAAAAACACCCTTGGGGTAGGCCATCAATTTTTCCAGGCGTGCATGGAACACGCGGACGACGACGTCTGGCCTGTCAGCTGTTTTTTGGCCAGGGCGGAGACTTTCGTTTATCTGTGGCTAGTAAGGGCTAGAAGTGAGAGTGATGAAAAACGTTGGTGGGCCCTTGCGACGAGCGAGCTCCAAAGAGCATGCGGAGCCGGCGCAAGTGTCGCGGAGAACGGGCACGTTGGAAGGTAAGTCGGTGCTTGCGCCAGGGACGGGAGTATCGTTTGCGAGGGCTTCGCAAACGTCTGACCGTTTAACTGCGCGTTGGTCTCGTGCGCTGCGAATGAGGCCTAGCCTCTCCTCTCCGACTTTCATCTTGCAGAAGATCTTCTCCAATCTCCCATTCAAGAGTTGGCCGCACAAGTGCGTATGTGTCATTAGTAAGAGATGCTGGCGGTGCCGCCACATTCGGGAGATGCCCTGTCCTGTGGTCGCGCGCGCATCAGCGCTCCATCCGCGACCGCCATGGGGAAGCCACAAAAGGTAACTCAAGGGTTCGTAGAGTGCGCTCAATGGGTGAAGGCACTACCGTGTAGAAGACGAGGCTCTGTGAAACGAACAGATCGTGCGGGCGCGTCCACGCGAGGCGTTTCGTGTAGAATCGCGGCGGGCTCGTTGATGCCCTCGTTCCGCTGTAGCTCCACCGCCAGATGGGGGGCGCGCGTGCTGACGGAGCAGATGGGCGTCGGAGCTCCCTGGCGCAACCATTGCGAGGCAGGATGAGTCTCTCGAGGCACAGCGCAATTTTGGTGTCTACATGCTGCGCCATGTTGGCGGAACAACGTTCCGCCTCAAGCTAAGCCTGCGGGCCCCAACCCCGCAGCCTCAGGGAGGAGGATGATGAGGAGGAAGGAGGACGGAGGAGGAGGAAGGAGGAAGGAGGGGAGATATGGGAGGGGGGAGGAGAACGAGGAGGAGGAGGAACAGGAAGGAACATGGAGTAGGATGATGGAGGAAGGAGGAAGGGAGGAGGGAGGAGGGAGGACAAAAGAAGGAGGAATGAGGACGGAGGTAGGGGGAGGAGGAAGGAAGAGGAGGAAGGAGGAGGAGATGAGGATGAAGAGGAAAGGGGGGGGGAGGTGGCAGGATCAGAAGGGGGGGGGGGGGGAAGGGAGGAAGGACGAGGAAAAGGAGGAAGAGGAAGAGGAGGAGGAGGAGGAGGAGGAGGAGGTCGACGACGACGACGGGAGAAGGCAGAGGAGGAGGAGGAGGAAAGGGAGGACCACGGCAGGAAGAAAAGGAGGAGGACACGGAGGAGGAGGAGGAGAGTGAATGGGGAGGGGCAGGGGCAGGAGGGATAATACCAGGTGGTAGAGAAGGAGGCAGAGGAGGAAAAGAGGAAGAGGGGGAAGGGCAGGAGGAGGATATATCCACATCGCCTGGGAACGCGGAGCTCGGGGGTACCACGGCAACAACAACGTGATCCACATGTGTCAACATCAATGGGCTGCATTACTGTGCTAAAGTACTGGGGTATGAGTTACTGTGCTGTTAGCCCCCCCACCTAAGGAATTGGCTCGGACAACGCAGTTTTACGGACTGCGTTGACCTTCGTAGCTACTTTGCTTGCTGGGAGCCTTGCTATGGTCTTTGGCTACCCCCCGACCTAAAATGGAGGGTTTCAGATGACAAGTGCGAGCCGATTATTTCTGTAGGTACACCACTTAGCTCTCCAGTATTTGCTACGAAATTTCTTCCATATCGATAATGTTGCTTACGTTCGTTTAGCAGAGAGTGTCCACACGTTACCCCTGGTAATTGTTGCTGACAGTTGTAGGCTGGTGCGCTATGACAACGACGTGAACCCAGTTTTTCACTACTACGAAGCCGAAGGCGCTGCCTAAACATCCCAGATATTATTGGATCAGCACACTTGAGAATCATCCAATGCCCGCATTCCACAAAACCACCATCGGGTTTCGATCAATACAAACATGCCGACACATGGCGGTAATGCCAGAGAGGCCTCAGAAGCTGAACGACCAAAGGATGATGGCCGGTTCCCCACAAATTATGAGGAATCAGAAGCGGGCTTCGAGGCACATATTACGGAGGTGCGGGCATACATAACTACAAGACGAAAGGGAATTAGTGGAAGCAACCCCAACAGCAGAACTCAATACCATACCCACAAATGATCTCTGACAGCAGCGCGCTGGTAACAGTTGCTGACGAACAGCAGGGGCACTTTCCTACGCGGGGTAACCCACTGAGTACTAACACCACCGAGACATATCATGTCAAGCTGTGCTCTACGGGCGACGATGACAGTTATGGACTAGACGTCGACGAGCACGGACACTATGTGGAGCTCTGCTTTACGGCAGAGGTGTCGAAGGGAGTTTTATCTGCACAGCGGCATAGGATATCGGACGTCACGCCCTCTGGAGATCTCTGGGGCTCGACCCCATGCCTTGCAGGGCTGAGGCGTGGGTTGCAGGTAAGCTTGTCCACTCATCCCATGTGCTGTGGTGCAAGGCCTCCATTTATTTTTGTGGGGCGTGCGGGGCCTGGGCCAGTTCGAGGCCCGTCTCTCTGCGGGAGCGTTGCCCAGCGGACGAGTTCGGTCCCCACGCCTGCACCCAGGCCGGCCGCGTGGTCCTGAAGCGGCTGTGTAAAGGTTTGCCGCCCTCCAGGAAGCTCAGCGCCTGGCCTGACATGTAAATTTTCTGCCCTGGCCTTCAGTCCCAGGCAACCTGTTTGCCCTTGGAGCCTGTTCGTCAGGGGTGCACTGTAAAAAAAGACCGTGTTACCACGATGCGAGTAGATGTGACCGCTGTATTGAACGAGCTGCGGTCGAAAAGGGGGACCTTCTCACGAAGGCAAATATTCAGGCGAACCCGGTCAAGGTTTCAAAAGCCCTGTGCATTGTATACAAGACACGGTTCGACAACAAGCGTTTCAAGATACAATACTTCTCCAAAACGGCATTCATCATGGATTCGAGATACGTATACATTCTTAATTTGTTAAGAATGCAAAGGCGAAGCGGAACGTGCCATCATGTCGCGCCTGGTACTCCGCGGTCCCATGGGCTCGGGAGCCTTTGACGTAGAAGCGTTCTCAGGAGCAGCGCGGCGGTCAAGCCAGCGATTACTCGCCAGCGCGGCATCGCGCAGGAAGCAGTGGATCATTGCCTTTTTTGACATGAACATGGCTTTTAGAAGGGGCTCACATATCTAGAGCTTGCTGTAGCAACCGGTGAAAAGCAGCGCGTGGCGTTTTACACTGCCACCTGGGCCAGCACATGCACTTGGATCGCTCCCAGGATTCGAGCACTATGGCGAGTCAAAACATTGTCTACAGTGCCTCAGAACCAGGCACAGGCACCAAAGATGCGCCAAGAGCCTTCTCGCTGAAATTCATGAAGACCATGAGAGGCTTTGGACTCAGACACACGTCTTACGACGAGGAGTTCGAGACGAGCACCAACCTGCTTTCCGCCAAATATGTTGATGATGTATACATGGCCGGCGCAGATGACACAACCGAGAAATACGTCAAGCGCGTTGGATATACATTTGGGGAGTGTAATCGCAACAAACATACATAGACCAATTGTGTTGCGAGGTACGCTAAGGGTAGCGACAGACATGCCACTCTTGATCAAGACGAAGATATAAAACAAAACCCTTCATATCCAGGACCGCGAGCTCACAGGCGCATATGGTGAGGCTAAAGCATCAAATATGGTCACTGATAGGTTTCTCTGCCTCAGAGTCGATTTGGCTTACGCCTTCATTTCGCAAGGCCGTTTATATAACGATGATGCCAACGGGCGAGGTAGACCTGCGCAGCGACACGGTTATCGACGCTTAAACGGCGATGCCGATGATGAGGTCAAAGGCCATGGTGCTCGCGGGGCAAACCCGTTAAGGCGTGGGCCCACGCATGCTGGTAATCCTGTCGTCCATCTTGTCGACGCGCTCTGCAAGCCTCACCGCTTGCAGGCCCGCTCTAGCTATCCGGCTGGAACGCTAGCAGCAGCCCATTATTTGGAGGACTGCTATCCCGCAGTCGTCACGCCACACGGACTACGCGCAGGGCCGCTGACACCCACTCAATTGAATCATGTTGTTGAAATGGGTGGTCTCAGCATCAAGGTCACCCTGGCCACTGATGCGGAATATGCAGTCAAGTCTTTGTCGATCAAAGACTTGAAGAAGCCGACTAAGTGCACCCTCCTTGGCCACGCCAGTGCGATACGGCAGTTGATGGAGCGCGGTGTCGTTCGTAGCGCGCAGTGGTGCGACATCCGTGACATGTTCGCAGATGGCCACACCAAGGGGGGCATTGACCGAGATATGATTTTACAGGTTATGGACGGGATGCAGTCTTTCAGGCATGACTTGGCCCGACATGCTCCATGCAAGGCCGGCCAGACGAGAACATCTGAACCGTCCGAGGAACGATAAGTTGCGAGAGAAGGTAAGCCCGCGTGCTGCTGCCTTCCCTGAGTAATATACCTTTTTTGTTTTGCCGAATCAGGCCGGACGCGGACTCACGTTTCGTCTCCTGCCCCCCGATTTTGAGGGAGGACGGGCAAAGGCGAGAGTTAGCGAACGTTTGTCCGCGGCCGTGTGGGCTCCAGCTTCCAGCCGCCTACATGACCGCGTCGCGCCGCGACGCGCCGCTCGACACTGATGCGGGAGAGCTCCCCTTGAGATGTCCCCCTGCCGCCGCCTCCTCGTCCTGCTCCTCCTTCCTCATTCCTCCCCCCCCCCCTCCTCCTCCTCATGCCTCCCCTCCTCCCTCCTCATTCCTCCTCCCCTCCCCTCCTCCTCCTCCTCCCCTTCATGCCTGTCGTCCTGCTCTCCCTTCATCATTCCTCCCTCCTCCCTCCTCCCCTTCCTGCTCGCCGTCAGGCGCCAACCTGGTGCTGACGGTCGTCGGGTACCAGGCGCGCGCTCGCGCGCCCCCCCGATAGTCGAGCCCCGTCCACGTTGGGCGAAGAGCCGCAGGGGGGACTGCGGTATGGGCTAGTGCCGCCCTGGCGCGTGCATCCTCTCGGATGCAAATCCTGGGAGGTCGAGTTTTTATGTTGCCCTGGTTCGAATTCTTATTTCATCCTGCTCAGTCCCGTTCAATATGGCTTCTATCCCGTTCGATCCAGTTTCATCTCGCGTAATCCGCGGCTTAATCTGGCGTAGCACCCCCAACGGGGCTTATTCTTCTTTAGTCCTTCTGACGAAGACCTCCCAGCAGGTGCCTCGTATAATCGAGGCAATCAGTTTTTCGCCGTGGGCCGTTGGAGACCACTCGACACGCGCGAGCATGTTTTCTGGTGTGTGTGGGTGCACAGGCAGCGCCTCCTTAACTCAGCTGGTAGAGCATGCGCTTCGTAAGCGTACCCCTCCCGGCTGCTCATCGTCAAACTCTTCGGCGTCTGAGCGTTTTTTTTTCCTCTCGGCCGTCCCCCTTTCCTTTTTTGTTCGCCGGCCAATTCGATAGTTAGTGCCCCTATCTAGCTTCTCGGTGGAGCGGAGTTCGCCGCCTCGCCGCTGCCGGGCGGCATTCTACACAGAGCGACGTCGGAGCCACCGAGGAGCACCTGGCCGTGAGCTCCACCCAGCGTCGAGGGCGGACCTGGCTCTGGGTCCCCGTGTCGGGCCCCGGGTCCCCGCTCGGAGAGCTGACCGCTTGGGGTGGCCACGAGGGGTCGACCCAGACCAAGGACGTCAAGGTTCCTTGATCATTTCGACCCCCAAAGGTCTCGACCCATTCCCCATGATCGGTTTTCCATCCTGAGTAGTTACTGTTGACGGGCCCGAGGCCTGGTCAGGGCCCCCAGAGGCCGAGATTGGAGGACCCCCCCCCGTCACGGTTTTTGTTTCTTGATTCGAGAGGGTCTGGGGGTTCCAGGGCCTAGGGGGAGATGAATGCCTGGAACCGCAGGTCAAGCCGCCAGACGTTTGGAGCTCAGGGTCGAGCGCGGCCCGCTGCGGGCCCTGGCGCCCACAGGCAGTGGCCCGCGGCGCGAGACCCGCGCGCGCACGAGAGCTGACGTCGAGAGCCTGCGGTGGCCGTGGGCCAGGTCGACGGGCCCCCAGACCTCCAGTGTACTGAAACATGCATTCCACACGGAGGTTTCTCGCCGTTCTCGGTCTTTGGGACCCCTGGCCGGGCCCCTGGACCGTCCGAGAACAATCTTCGGGATGGAGCACCGGTCCTGGGGAACGGGTCGAGACCTCCGGGGGCCCCGTATTGAACAAAATTCGATAGGATCTCTTGGGAAAGCCAAGACGCACCGATACCGCTACTCCCCGGACCTCTCCCAGGGTGCGTTCTGATCAGGATTTCGAGGCGAATCCAACGGTGGCGACGAGGGCTTCCCCGGAGGCCCGAAAAGGGGAAAACGGGCGAAGGGGCAGAGGTATGGGTACCTTTTCCTCCTCCGCTCTCTGGGTCCCGTGGTCCCTGAGATCCGAGGCGCTGCGCTCTTTTCACACCGGGCGCGTTTGCCCGGTTTCGGGCCCCGGGCCAGCACAGGTCGATCCGTCTGGAAGATTGCCGCAGCATGGTGGGGTCGAGGGCTCCAGTCGTGAGTTTGTTTCTTGAGTTGGGTTGGGACCTCGTTTTGAATCAGCAGCGCCCCGCGTCCTCCTCCTGCTCCTCCTCCTCCTCCTCCTCCTACTTTGCTCCTCCTCCTCCCCCTCCCCCTCCTCCTCCTCCTCCTCCTCCTCCCCCTCCTCCTCCTCCTCCTCCTCCTCCTCCTCCTCCTCCAGTGCTCCTCCTATCCCTGCCTCTGCCCTTTGAACGTAAAACATATATCGGAACACCCCTCACACGCTTCGTGGCCCCTTATAAGGGAGCTCCACCAAAGGCTCCAGCGGCTGCGTGCGCATGCGGCGTCCACCCCGCTTTGGCACACCCCTCGCACGTTTCGTGGCCCTAGGGAGCTCCACCCAAGGCCCTTGTGGTTGTGCCTGGATGCCGTCGCCACCCTACTGTGGCCCAACCCTCACACGCTTCATGGCCCCATAGGGGCTCCACCTACGCCCCAGCGGATGCGTTCGCATGCCGCCGCCACCCCACTGTGGCACACACACACACACACACACACCTCACACGTTTCGTGGCCCCATAAGGAGCTCCACCTGAGACCCCAGTGGATGCGTTCGCATGCTGCCGCCACCCCACTTTGGCACACACCCCACACGTTTCGTGGCCCCAGAAGGAGCTCCACCTAAGACCCCAGTGGACGCGTTCGCATGCTGCCGCCACCCCACTTCGGCGCACCCCTCACACGCTTCGTGGCACCTTAGGGAGCTCCACCAAAGGCTCCAGCGGCTGCGTTCGCATGCGGCTTCCACCCCACTTTGGTGCACCCTCACACGTTCCGTAGCCCCACCGGGGCTCAACCTGAGGCCCCAGTGGCTGCGTTCGCATGCCGCTGCCATCCCACTTTGGCGAGCCCCTCATACGTTTCGTGGCCTCATGGGGAGCTCCACCTTGGTGTTGCGCCCGCATGCCGCCGCCATCCCACTTTGGAATACACACACACACACACACCTCACACGGTTCGTGGCCCCATCAGGAGCTCCACCTAAGACCTCAGTGGATGCGTTCGCATGCCGCCGCCACCCCACTTTGACACACACACACACACCTCACACGGTTCGTGGCCGCATAGGGATTTCACCTAAGGCTCCAGTGGCAGGAATCGCATGCGTGACCGCGCCCATGTCGGCACACCCTTTACACGTAGACCCATAGGAAGCTCCACCTAAGGCCGCATTTGCAGGAATCGTATGCGTGACCGCGCCCATTTCGGCACACCCCTTGCACGTTCGGTGGCCCCACAGGGAGCTCCGCCGAAGGCCCCAGTGGCCGGAATCGCATGAGTGACCGCGCTTATTGAGGCACATCCCTCGCACGTTCAGCGGCCCCCTAGGGAGCTCCACATGATGGACCACCAGCAGGAATCGCATGCGTGACCGCGACCCCTCGCACGTTTCGTGGCTATATATCATAGGAGGTCCACCAAAGGCCCTGTCGCCTGCTGCTCCCCATACCACCCCCTGCTGCTCCCCAGGGCTGGGCCGACAGACGCTCAGAACAGGCGTGACGGTGTACATCAAGATGTACACGTTGCGGCTGACCCTGTCGACCCCATCAGCAACGTCGCTCCGTCCTTCTCACGCACGCCTTAGTCCTTTTGCTAGCCCATCCCGTAGTTCCCATCTGTCTTGCGATACTCGCACCTGCTTGTGGTCGGGTACTTCGCCAGGCAAAGTCAACACGGGGTCCACAGAGGTCTCGTCCCGTTCTCCAAGACCGGTTGTTCATCCTGAGTATGGTCTTCTGAAGGTCCCGGGGCCCGGCGAGGGCTCCCGGCCCCCAAACGGTGCGGTGACCACACCGTGCGGTGAGTCGGTGGGGACTCGGGGTCACCGCACGGTTGTGGGATTCGGGTCGTTCTCCGAAGACGTCTCGGGCGACAGGGGCCTCCAAGGTCCCAAAACCGTGCGGTGACGGACCGTGCAGTGAGGTCTTGGGGGGCTTACAGGTCACCGCATTGTCCGTCACCGCACCGTTTCGGGACTCAAAAGGAAAACGGCAAAAAACTTCGGCCGTGCATCTTCCAGTGCAGGGGTGGACCTAAACTGTTTTTTGGCGATTTCGTGGGCCGTTTTCGTTTCGACTTCGTTGTGCGTTAGGCGGATTAAAAACAAAACGAGGGAAAACGAAAACAAAGAGAACGCGAAAAACACCGTTTAGGTTCAGCCCTGTTCCAGTGCCGATCCATTGCGCGCCCCCGATGGAAACACCATGCTTTTCAGAATGCGCGGGCCTTGTCTATAGATATGGCACCACCCTCTAAGAAGCGGCCTCCTTCTAAGAAGTCTTACCCCCTCCCCCTAGCCCCGTGAGCGCGCCCCACGATAAGACCGTGTAAGAATGCAGAACGTGCCGGGTTCAAAGCGTCCGTGCTGACACACTTCGCGTTGGCGCAGCATGGGTTGGTCCACGTTTTGGCGAACGCATCGCCCCAGACTTGCGTTTTCAGTCGGCGTGTTGAGCTCCGTGTCAACACGCTACGTGTCAATTGCGTGTTGCGTACCAGGGCAACTACGATCAAGATCTCCGACGATAATCCCACCAGCCCTCTGGGCGCAGCTGGTCTAACGATGTTTTTCTTACCTCTTCCACAAAACCCCTCTTCCCCTTCGGGGAGGGTTTTATTTCTGTTCCCTATTAATATACACCCCCTCCCCCAGGCGACTGGGAGCCAACCACGGACAATGCGGGCACCCCCCCCCAGCATCCTTCGTAAAAAAACAATACAAACACACACTCTGCCTTCAAATTCGGAGCATGCACAGCGAACCCGATGCGGCCTCCCCCCACCATCACTGTCAAAAAACCATACAGAGTACACTTGGCGGCGGCGGCGGCGGCGGCTGCGGCGGCTGCGGCCGGGGGCAGCGGCTGCGGCGGTTGCGGCGGTGGCGGCGGCGGTGGCGGCGGCGGCGGCGGGGGTGGCGGCGGCGGCGGCGGCGGCGGCGGCGGCGGCGGCGGCGGCGGCGGTGGCGCGGCGGCGGCAGCGGTGGCGGCAGCGGCTGCGGCAGCGGCTGCGGCGGCGGCGGCGATTCGGCAGCGGGGGCGACGGCGGCGGCGGCGGCGCAGCGGTGGCGGGCGGCGCGGCGGCGGCGGCGGCGCAGCGGTGGCGGGCGGCGCGGGCGGCGCGGCGGACAGCGGCGGCACAGCGCGGCGGCGGCGGCGGGCGCGGCGGCGGCGGCGGGCGGCGGCGGCGGCGGCGGAGGCGGCGGCGGCGGCGGCGGATTCGCCCCCAGTAGCTGCCCATCCAAAGACGACTGCTGCATATGCTGCGGCTCGGGCCAGGCTCGGGTGCTACGTATGTGTTGGGAGGGCGGGTGGGAGTGAGCGAGACGGCTTGCGGGCGGGGAGGGAGTCTTGATCACTGTTCCCTATTAATAAACACCCCCTCCCCCAGGCGACTGGGGGCCAACCCAGGTCCATGACGACACTCCCCACCATCCCTTGTAAAAAACAACAAAACACACTCTGCCTCCAAATTCGGAACATGCGCAGCCAACCCGATGCGGCCCCCCCCCACCATCCCTGTCAAAAAACAATACAAATACACTTGGCGGCGGCGGCGGCGGCGCGCTGGCGGCGGCGGCGGCGGCGGCGGCTGCGGCGGCGGCGGCGGCGGGGGCGGCGGCGGCGGCGGCGGCGGCGGCGGCGGCGGTGGCGGTGGCGGCAACGGCTGCGGCGGCGGCGGCGGTTTGGCAGCGGGGGGCGGCGGCGGCGGCGGCGGCGGCGGTGGCGGATTGGCCCCCAGTAGCTGCCCATCCAAAGACGTGTGCTGGATATGCAGAGGCTCGGGCCAGACCCGGGTGCTACGTATGTGTTGGGAGGGCGGGTGTGAGTGAGCGAGACGGCTTGCGGGCGGGGAGGGGGTCTTGACCCCTCCCCCTACTCCCTCCCCTGGCCTTTTTTTTCGGCGGCGGTCGCACGTGGCCAGAGGGCCCTTTTTTCGGCCCTTTGGAGGGCCAAATTCTGATACCCAACACGAGGATCGTGGCTCCCGAGGGGGGGACCTCGATCGAGAGCTTCCTCCTTTGATCGATAGCTTCGAAGATGGCCCCAAGAGGCGTTCCAGGGCTCCCAAGAAAGCCCCAAAAGAGCCCCAAGAGGGTCCCAAAAGGGTCCCAAGAGGTCCCCAAAAAGGCATCCGAGAGGCCCCCAAGGGGCCCCCGAGCGGCCTGAGAGAGCCCAAGGTGACCCCCAAGATGGCTCAGATAGCCAAGGCTGGCTCAATTTGGTTCATGAGATGTTCCAAACGGCCCCAAGACCGCTCCAAGAGCGCCGAAGAGCGCTCCAAGAGAGGTCAAAAAAGCGAGTTGCCGGCTCTTGAGGGGGGAGCTGAGTTGGGGACCCCGCCATATTGCAATCGATGGCCTCCAAGATGATCCTAAGAAACCTTCCAGGGTTACCAAGAGGGTTCCAAGAGGGCCCCCCCAAAACTCCCAGAGAGCAGCAGCAGCAGCAGCAGCAGCAGCAGCAGCAGCAGCAGCAGCAGCAGCAGCAGCAGCAGCAGCAGCAGCAGCAGTAGCAGCCTAGTCCTCGTCCTACTCGTCCTCGTCCTCATCCGCGCCCTCGTCCTCCTATCCCTCCTCGTCCTCTTCCTCCCCCCCGCGCCCCCACGCGGCCCCCAGGGATGACCCGAAGAGGCCTTCCAAGGCCACCCCCTTGTTTCCAGAGATCTCTCGGTTCACCCTGGTTGCTCGCTTTGTTTCCCTAGATGTGTCTATTCGTCCCTTTCCCGTCAGCTCTGATGGGCTTGGTGGGCTTCTTGATGGGCTGGTGGGGGTACTTTTCCGTAACCTAATTGCCTAAACGCACGAACGAACGGCCGCCGAAACTGCCGCCAAGGGACGCCGAGGAGCGACGCCGGGGACTGAAGGCAGAGCTGCAAGAGGTGCCAGGTGTGCCTGGCGGCTGAAGTGCACCCATTCCAGGGGCGAGACCACTGGGAAGGCAAACGCTGGTGGGGATACCTTTTAGTCAGCGGCCGCGGGCGGGAGCGCCGGCGGCGAGTCAGGTCAAAGCGGGCTACGCAGAGACGAATTGAGCAAGGGAAACGCGGGAAAAACAACCAGAGCGACGGGCGAGGCGACAACTAAGCGGCCGAGGCCTCAGAAGGGGGGGGCTGCTGGGACTGAGCTGAGGAGAGCTGCCGCGCGCATAGATGCAAGTCAGTTGGAGGCGTCACGCGTCGGAAAGTCAACGACGGCCATGGACAAATCCGATAGAGAAAATGCGACACCGTACCTCAGACGTCGGCGTGGGCACCAGGGTGGCCGTGGCCAACGAAACGTCGGTCGAAGTCGCGAAAAGAAGAACAAAGGCGAGGCCCCGGACGGCGCGAAGCGCGGAAACCAGGGTGGTCCAAAGGACCGTCGACCACCGAAGTGTTGCCAGAGGCGAAATGTTGGTTTTTATTTCAACCAGCGTTTGTGCCCTGATTTCCGCCTCTGGGGCCCGTGACCGGGCCCCGGCACCAGCAAAAAGCGGCTCTGGGGCGAAAGCTGGCCATGGGGGAGGGGTCGGGATTTCTGGGGCCGCATAGTGAACAAATCATATCGTCGGCCGTCTGGAAACATTGAATGATTCAGTCAAGCCTCCTCCTTTCGGCGGCGAGCGAAGGGGGAGAAACGCCTTCTAAGAAGGCGGCGGGATTTCTCAGAAGCCCCCGGCGCCTTCTGAGGAGTGTTTTGCGTCTTCGGGGACGGCGCAGACAACTCCTCCGAAGGCCGGGGGACTTCCGAGCCTTCTGAGACGGCCCGCCCTTTCCCACTTCCCCGCCTGGGCTCCCCGCCGATCCCTCCCTCCTCCCCCGTCCTTCCAAATGCCCCCCTGTTTTGATGGGCCTGGTTTCCACCACCACCACCAACAGAAGTTGGAGGGGGAGGGGGTCCTCCTCCTCCTTCTCCTCCTCCTCCTCCTCCTCCTCCTCCTCCTCCTCCTCCTCCTCGTCCGCCTCTTCGTCCTCCTCCTTCTCGTCCTCCGCCTTCCCCCCTCCAACTTATGGTGGTGGTGGTGGAAAACAGGCCCATCATCTTTCCTCAATCTCCTCCCCGTCCTCCTGCTCGCTTGAGGACCGGCAGCTGCTTTAACCCCCTCCTCGCCCCATTAACGGGGCGTGCCCCCGTGCCAGCGGGAGTTGCTCCAGGTATGTTCCGTTGCTGCCAGTTCCCACCTCTCGGGGGCAGCAAAAATGACCTCGATACCCAGATCCCTAACGTCATGATTCTTCCGTATTGGCGGCGAGCCAGGGTGGAAGTGGAAAGGGGTGGGCCTTTTCAGAAGCCTCAGAAGTCTCCCGGCCTTCTGAGAAGTTTTCTAAGCCTTCTCCGAAGACATGGAAAACCTTTTCAGAAGGCCGGAGGGCTTCTGAGAAGTCTCGCCGCTTTCTGAGAAGGCCTTCTCCTTCTCACTTCCCCCCTCGCTCGCCGCTGACGTCGACCCCTGTGGCCTCGACCTATTTCCCTGAGATTGCTTTTTCATCCCGAGTCGTTTCTTGACAGTCCCGAGAGCCATTAAGGGCCCTTCGAAAATGAAGATTTAGAACAATTGTCCGTCATGATTTGTTCATGGCTCGAGCGTTTCTTGGTTCGTTGCGAGGTAGGCAGGCACCTCCGCGCACAAGATGGTGGACATTCTTACGGGCTGGCTCGCGAGCGCGAGACGCTCCACGACTGATGTGCACCATGCCTCCAAAGCGAAGGCCCGCACGCCTCAGCGTACCTCTGTACGGCTCCTATGCCCCCCCCTCCTATCGCCTCTCTTTCCTCCTCGGCCTTGGCCCCCTCTCCCCCAAGGCATTCCACATTACATGCATCCTGATTTGTTTCATCCGGGGGGGGGGGGCCAGAAGTCCCGACCCTCCAGGGTCGTCTTCTGACGGCCCCAGGGCCCGGCGCGGGTCCGAGAAGGCCAATTAAAAACACGAACAACGAGTTTCCGTCGTGCTTCTTTCACGACTCGAACATGTCTGGGCTTCCGGGCCAGAACTCGGCCATCTAGCGGCGGTCGGGACGATCCAGGCGCCCTTGGAACGCCCTCGGCGAGGCGCAGCAGCTGGAGACAGCATCCCGAGCTTCGAAGACCGCCGAAAACCGGCCAAGCCGCCCGAAAACCGACGACGACGACGACGTCGTCGTCGTGGACGACGACGACAGCGCCCTTCAAGTCCAGACTTGCCTGTAGGCAGGGGAGTACGGTTGGGGCGGCGCACCCAGAGGGGCGGGTGCGGGGCCCGCCAGGTGGACCACCTGGACGGCCCCGCAGGAGCAGGCCGGGGGTCCTCCATCGGAGGCCCAGAGGTTGACGCCAACACCAGTACATGGCGGTGTACCTCCACCGAGGGAAGATGATCCTGGTGTCGGTGATGGTGGTCATCATCGGGCTTCCCGGGTGGCCTAGGATATTCTTCCCATGGTGGAGGCAACCCCCTGTGTTAGTGTTGGTGCCCGCTTCCAAGCCTCCAGCTCCAGGCTTTTGCCCAGCTCGTCAAGGGCTTACCGACTTCTGCCATCCTTCGACTCGCGCTAGAGCGGCCACGACTTGTTCCAAGTTTCCTTGGCGATCTTTTGGGTTCTATCTCGGTTTATTTGTATTTGCAAGAATTCAATTGGATTTACCTAGGTTTACCTGCATGTACCTGGGTTTACTCGGCGTGATCACCACAAGTCGATTGGCGAGAGGTCGTCAAGCCCTTAGGGACCAGCCCCTCCCGCGTTGGGTCCTCGTTCTGATCAGCGCACTGTCGCTTCTCTCCTCCTCCTCTTGATCAGAACAACTGCATAAAGACAAGCTTCTGGGGGGGGCGCCGCCAGGGGGGCCCAGCGCGGAGCCAAGAAATCCGCGCGGACTTCCGAAAGTAGAGGTTTATGACGTTTGTTGTTCTTCTGTGAACTCCAGGTTTTTCCCCGCCTCCCGCGTTCCAAGACGTGGCCGCACTGGAGCGAAGCCACGACGCAAGGCTCTCGGCCGTTTCCGGCACGCGGGGGCCCTTGCCGGGCTCCGGGGCCATCAACCTCTGGGGGCCCCGGGCCCCTGGGGAAGGGGCCAGGACTTTTGGGGCCCAGGACGGAACAGATCTGGACGTCGCATGTCTGCGTTGGGTTTTCGTTCGGAGCACGGCGCCGCCGCTCCTTGCCTCCGCCTCCTTCCTCGTTGCCTCTGCCTCTCCCTCGCCCACAGAAGAGGAGCCAACGGCATGCGACATAGACATACACTTACGCCAGGCGTGTCAAGACTAGCCAGAAAATAGTCGAGGGACATTTTTGGAGTATTTTGTCAGTATTTTGGGGCTTCTTTTGAGCATATTTCATTTTTCGTCCAAAATCCGCCTGTAGGGGGACGTGCCCGACCTAAGTCCAGGGGCGAGGCACGAGTCCGGGGTTACGAAATCTGCTGCATGCAGCTGGTTTCGGCCCCGCCGCCGGGCCCACTCCTCGATGCATGGGCGCCTCCCGGCGCCGGGAGGCGCTGGGAAAGTCAGCTGCGTGAGCTGATTCTCAAAACCCCCCAATTTGCTATCCCCCCCTTTCGCCCGGCCCGACACCCGCCCCGAGGACGTCGGGGGTGGATACACTCATGGGGGCCTTTTGGGGGCCTCCCCAGGGATGAAACGCATGGAAAAGATCAGGACGGCCGTTTTTCGCAGTTTTCGGCCCCCAGGGGCCCTCGCAGGGCCTCGGGACCGTCAGATCGACGCGGAGCTCCAGAGGCTCGTGTGTGAGCAGCGAAAGAGAGCACGGGCTCGTCTTCACCAGCGCTGATTCTCAACCCACCCCTTTGCGATTCCCCCCTGTCGCCCGGCCCGAAGATCGGCGCGGAGCTCCAGAGGCTCATGTGTGAGCAGCGAGAGAGCACGGGCTCGTCTTCAGCGCAGCGCTGGCGCGCGCAAGCTGCCCGCGTCAGGTGGTCGCGCGCGGGCACCCTCGCCTCCAGTGCAGCGAGTCGCGCTGGCGGTCCGCCTCAGCCGCCCCGCGGGGGTCTCGGGCCGGACGAAAGGGGGGGATTGGGAAAGGCGGGGTTACGAAATTTGCTGCCTGCAGCTGGTTCGGGCCCCTCCGAGGGGCCCACTCCTCGACACACAGTCGCCTCTGGCGCCAGGAGGCGCCGGGAAAATCAGCTACGCGAGCTGATTCTCAACCCCCCCCTTTGCTATCCCCCCCTTGCGCCCGACCCGAGGGTCGCTGTGCCTGTGCCATCTCGCGCAAGCCCCTTCTCCGTTCGTCGTTCACGTGTGGCCAAAAGTGGCCTCGCCTCCGAGGGTAGAAGGAGATGGCATCTCTTCCTCGGCGGAAGGGCGGCGGAAGGTCGTCGGAAGTAGAACGAGGCCGCCTCCGCCAGCGGAGGCCGGCGGAAGCTCGGCGGAAGTTGGCGGAAGGCGGCGAAACGCCTCGACGGCTCAAGCGAAATGAGCGTGCTCAGAAGCGTGCTGGGTCGCAAGTCCCAGCCCGACACCCGACCCTTTCTCCCTTCCCACTGCCGCCATGGCCTGCGCCGCGAGGCACTCTTGAACGGAGAGTTCGCGAACATGATTGACGTCGGCGGGGTGAGCGCTGGGCTGCGGCACCACAGCCCTGGACCTGGAATTTGTGATCGACTATGCCGCCAGCGGCTTCCAGGAAGCAAGTGCACAGGGGAGGCAAGCGGGCGCTGAGACGAGCCGCGCGAGCGTTGCAATTGGACGGGAGCGTGTGGTACCTTGGCAGGAGGTATACTCGAGCCACGGCAGCCGCTTTTCTCCCAACTTACCATCAATTCATGGCTCAGACTGCCCATGGCCCTACTTCATCTTCCTCCACTCCGTTGAAGTCGACACCCGCTCGACCCCTCTTGCACGAGACGGCCACCAGCGCCGCCAAGTACCATCAGCGCCAGCGTCGCCGCGCCCATCGGGACCAGCAGCTGATCAAGATTTGGACGTACAATTGCGAAAGCTTACTCAGAGCTGATCGCCTTGCCGAGATCCTTCGACTCGCAGGCAAAGCCAACGTGGCCATTATTAGCCTACAGAGTACCCTGCTGGAGCTCGCTATCCCTTGGACTACCGAAGGCTACAGAGTCATCCCGACGCCGCGCACGACTAGGACCAGTAGAGATAGCTGTTTGATAGCATTCAACCTGCGTTTTTCCTCTTTGAGCGAGCTCCGCGTCACCCACACATGGATGGATGGACGACTACAGGGTATTCGTCTCACTCGTAAAGGCCCTGCTGAACGTGATCTTTATGTGATGAATGAATGGCTACGCCCCGCTGAACGAGGTGAGCCACGCCAAGATCGGCGCCGACCATCGTGAGAAAACGGCCCAACATCGCCAACTCCAGTCCCAGTTCTGGGACGCGTGCCACGTGGCCCTCCGTCAGATCCCCCAGCGAGTGACCTTGCTCCTCACCCTGGACGCCAACGCTTCCATGCCCCCCTCACTGCCGCATGTCGGCTTTGCTGGCAAACGACGCCTTTATGCAGCCACCAACACCAACGGCTCGCGCCTCCTGGAAGTCCTAGAGGACTTCCACATGACGGCCCTCAACACGTTCGGCAAGAGCACGCGCCAGAACGGCACCTGGAAGCACACGACTGGCAAGGGATGGGCCACAATCGACCACATCTGCGCCCGCCTGAACGGCTCCTACGGCATCCGAGCGGCCCCTCTGCGGACAAGTCCTGTTAGCATGGGAGGCTACCGTGACCACCGACCTGTCGAAGCCCTCGTGCATGCTGGACTGAGAGCTAAGCGGGCTGCCGAACCCCGACCTGACCGATGGGACCGCGAGGCCATGGTACGCGACTTGCAAGCCCTGAAGGACCCAGATGCGTCCGCCCCAGCCCACGTCGCACAGACGCGGGCAACTCTGGACAACCGTCTACGAGAGCAACATCTCACAGGCCATTGGCAGGAGGAATGCGGCGAGATGCGCTGTTACGCCACGCCCTCGGAGTACTTCAACGCCATCGAGCATGCGGCCATTGAGGCAGCGGCCCCGCACTACGTCCTGAAGCCCACGCAGACCCAGCGCCCCGAGCTGACGGGCGCCACCCTGGCCCTGATCGCAAACAAGCACGCCATCCAGAAGCGCATGGCCTACTACTCCGACCCGTCGTCGCCCCGCGCTGTCTACCTCCAGACCCAGTGCGACGAGGCGGCCAAGCGCGCCGCCAAGGCTGTCCGAGCTGAGCGACGCCAGCGCTTGGCATCCACGGCTGCAGAGGCGGAGGCGGCAGATGCGAACATGAACCTGCGCAAGCTCCACAGCGTCGCGCGCCGTCTTGCTCCAAAGCCCGCGGCCCCAGTCATCGCGGTCACCGGCCCGACTACGGGCGGTGCATGCATGGACGCCGAGGAGGAGATTGCTGTCCGTGCAGAGGCTCTCTGCAACATCTTCGACGGCACCCAGATCAACATGGACAGCCCAGGAGGCCCCATCGGCATCCTCCCGTGGGGCGACGCCCGCATAGTCACATACAAAGTCGATGACGTGACCAGGGCCATTGCCAACGTGCCTAACTACAAGAGCGCTCCTGTCCTGAAGTTGCCACCGCTGGACGCGGCCGGGGATCTCAACGCCACCGGTGCCAAACCGACCTTCGAGGCTGACGGGTCCGTCATCGAACTGTGGAAGCTCTGTGCCGCTGAGACGGCTCCAGTACTCCACGGCGCCTTCCAGGCGTGCCAGGCCCTCGGCCACGCGGCTCAGCGCATCAAGGATGGCGAGACTGTCTCCCTGCGCAAGCCGAAGGGCGATGGCAAGAACGCCAAGGACCACTTCAGGACCATCAACCTCATCAACCACATTGGCAAGGTTTACATGAACATCACCGCGATGCCGCCCCTCCGCAACCTGGCGAGCAAGCTCGCTCACGCGCAGTTCGGCGCGCTGGCAGGCCGCTCTACGAGGGGCGCTATCGCGATCGTGGCCGAGGTTATCCGACGCTACCGACACCACGGCAGCGCGCCCAGGCTCGGCTCTGCGACGGTCCCAGGCATGCTCGTGGCAGTCCTGATCGATCTGGAAAAGGCCTTCGACTTGATTGACCGCGATGAGATCTGGCAGGCCCTCGAAGCCCTTGCAATACGACGGGATGCGCGTCTGACCGTTGAGGAGCTCCACGCGGGCACATGCTACATTGCCCTGAACATCCGCACCAATCGCCCCATCCGTAAGCTACTCATTCCACGCGGAGTTTGCCAGGGTAGCGTGGTGGACCCTATGCTGTTCGTTGCTGTCTATGACCTTCTCACTCGCAAGCTTGAGCAAAGCCAGCATGACTCCGAGTTCCCCGAGATCACCGTTACCTTCGACCCCACCCTTCGCAACCTTCGTCACCGCCACGGGCTGTTGGGAGGAGAAGGAGAGGAGGTGCTCAAGGTGTCCCCTGTCAAATTCGTTGACGACCTGATCGCCCTCACTAGCGTTGCAGATTTCGATGCAGTCTCTCGGTTCCTGGAGTTCCTCAAAGAGGAAATCACTAAGGGCAAGATGAAGGTAAATGACACCACAACTGAAATTTTGATCGTCACGGTTGGCAAGCAAAGCAAAAGCAGACGAGCCACGATCCGATCGAAACGAACGGACATTCGAACGCAGCAGACCCCAGTCCATGCCACGCCCAGTGTGAAGTACCTAGGCACCAAGCAGCGCGACGATGGCAGCATGGTGGAGGAGGTTACTCACATAACCCAGGGAGATAATGCAGCACGCGCACGCCTTGCACGTCGAGCCTTCAAGGGTCACTTTAGTGTACGCCTTCGAGTTAGGCTGCGGTGCCCCCTGGTCCGTTCGACAACCCTGCACGGCCTTGAGGTGGCAGTCCAGAGTAAGAGAGACCTCAACCGCATAGAGCACTAGCAGACTCGTAAGCTACGCTACTTGGCACGCTCTCCTGGCCATGTCCATCACGTGAGTAATGCTGAAGTAAGGCGTACAACACGAGTCCCGACGGTGGCGTCTGCGTTGCTTGAGCGGCGCCTAGCGTGGTCGCAGGGAATCTCACGCCCCGCGTTCCCCGGCTCGCAGCAGAAAAAAGCAGCCCGAGGACTCCGAGCAGGACCCCGAGGACCCCGAGGCCCAGCACGACCCCACGAAGCTGTTTCGGGCGGTAGTCTTCGGCAGGTCTAACTTCGAGGGGCCCACGCATGAGGAAATCAACTCGTTGCTCGGCGCACCCCAGGAGGACCTCAGGAAGCTCTGGAAGGTCACCGCCCCAGAAGCCCAACAGCAGGCCCGTGCGGATCACGAGCTTGAGGACCCTGAACCTGTACCCTCTCGCCCTTGGCTCCGCTGGCTCAGTCTGGCCCCTCGAGCCCGCCTTAGACGGGTTCGAAGTAATTTGACGGAGGACGAAGCGAAGATAGCCGCTGGCGAAGGCCCTCCGCCTGAGACCCTGCTCCAGTGCCCCCTGCGTGCTCGGATGTGTCAGGGGCCCAAGGGACTCGACAACCATGTGTTTAGCGTGCACGGCAAGTATGCGAACCCCGCGGACCTCGCAGAGGACCAGCTGCGAGTCCTGAAGTGCCCCCACTGCTTGATCAAGTTCAGTCGCAAGGAGACCCTGGTCCGCCACTATCGCCTGCAGCGCTGCCGTGCTCCACCGTCGTCCACCTCGGCTCAAGCGAGTGAGCCAGCGGGGCCCGAACCACCAGGACCTGCCCCTCCCGCCCCGCGGCAAGAGTCGGACGCTCATGTGGAACCTCGAGAGCGCGAAGCAGTGGACGAAGCCGAAGATCGACCTGGTCGCCCCCGAGGACACGACCGAGTTGGACGCAAACGACAAGCTCCAGACCCTCAGGTGCCGCCTGAAGCTCCTCCGCGAAGCCGCCCACCAGCTGCCCGCCCGAGGCGACAACTTCACGCTGACGGTGGCGGAGGGATCGGAGCTCGAGAAGACTCTGGAGCACGGCCACCAGACTACAGTGACCAAACCCGCGCGCGGGGTCCCTCACGGACTGCAGTATGTCACGACCCTCTGGATGATCGTCCTTCGCAAGGCCGCGGCGCTGCAGATCGTGGAAGATCCCGCTCAGCCCGACCAGGTGGTGGAGCAGCCAGCCGAGGTGCCCATCTCGACCCAGATCGACACGGTGGCCACCAAGGTCGTCCGCAGCCATCAGAAGGTGAGCCTGGACATGGTCGCGGACGCTCTCAAGAAGTTCATAGGCACCCCAGCAGCGAGCTCCGCCGACGGCGCCAGCTACCGCATCGAGGAGAACCAAGTACGCTGGATCCGGGCACCAACCATCCACATCGATCCCAAGTACGCTCTGACGGCGGTGCACGTACACGGGGACATTTCCCGAGCTTTCCATCCAGCAGCTCCCCCCCCCCGAAGCAGGGCGACGAGCTCGAGGAGCTGCTCGCCGCCGAAGCGACCACCAAGAAGTCCAAGACCGAGTAGAGGCACACAATCCTGGTTCTGCCAGGTTCGACGTCGCCACAGTTTTGCCAGACAGACGGGCTCGCCTCCAGCAGGCCCAGCCATCGATCGCAGACATATTCAAGCGCCAGCGCACATCCTTTACCAGCTCTGATGGGCCTTCAGCACCACCACTGGCGACCTCTCGTGCAAAATCATCATCGTGAATGCGAGCGGCCGAGGGCGGACGCGTATGCTACCTCGACGTGCTGGGGGCCGTAGGGTAGAACTCGTTCGTCGCTGTGCTCATGGGTGTTCAGTGAGGCCCCGCCCGCTGCCGCCGCCGCTGCCCCCGTCCTCCTCCTCCCTCGTGGGCCCGTCCTGTCCCCGTCTCTGAGCTTTGAAAAGTTTTTGGGATGAGCGGCCTCCGAGACCCCAGGGGCGGTCGAGGGGCCGCTCTCGCAGTGCCGCCTCCGCATGGGACGGGGGCGCGTGAGGGCGGGGCCAGAGCTGCTCTTGTCCTGTGCTCGCGCCCCTCGTTTCGGGCCCTCTCGTCCGAAATACAGTATTTTAGATGCGCCGATTTCGGTAGGTTTTGACTTTGGCCCCTCACGAAGCGCCCGTCCCGAAGGTAGTTGGGCGCAGCGCTGTGAAAAGGAAGGCGGCGAAAGTAGAATATGTGCCCCCAAGAGATGACAACGTTTTCGGGTTCAGGGTTTCCGACATCGCCCATGTGTACGCGGATGTGGGAATGGGTTTCTCCTGCTCCCGCCTCCTGCTACCTGCCTCACACCCGCCTCGCCTCCCTTGGTTGCCGCCAGCTGCGCCGCTGGGGGTATCGCGCTGTTCTGCGAGTTGGTTTGGCATGGCTGCATTTTTGTGGGAGGGGGGAGGGGGAGTTTCTCGTGGCCACGGCCATCATGCGCGGCTCGAGAAGTCGCTCGGGACGGCGTCCCAGAGGTCCATGGGCCGATTTTGATCGGAGGTGGACAACAGGAGGAGGAGGAAGAGGAGGAGGAGGAGGAGGAGGATGGGCAGTAGGAGGAGGAGGAGGAGAACGAGTAGGAGGAATAGTGTTTCAGGCTTAGACTCCTAGTTCGCGCAACGTCAAAAAGGAGGAGGAATAGGAGGAGGAGGAGGAGGAGGAGGAGGAGGAGGAGGAGGAGGAGGAGGAGGAGGAGGAGGAGGAGGAGAGGAGGAGGAGGAGGAGGAGGAGGAGGAGGAGGAGGAGGAGGAGGAGGAGGAGGAGGAGGAGGAGGAGGAGGAGGAGGAGGAGGAGGAGGAGGAGGAGGAGGAGGAGGAGGAGGAAGAGGAGGAAGAGGAGAATGGGGCCCGAGGCTCTCGCTCGACGACGGCTTCGCGCAGGGCGTGCGCGGCAGAGCGCGTTTTTTTTTTCCGTTTTTGGTGAATAGCTGGCATGATAGGGGGGGGGAGGCGCCACGGGGGGGTATGCTGTAACGCCTCCCCACCGCCGTGCGCACGGCGGCAGTGCCCGAGCGCACTGGGGTTACGTGAGCGGGGCCTTTTTTCAGATGCCATAGTATTGACCATAATCGCTCCACACACCCTGATGATTGGTTGCGAGACACGTGGTCGATACTTTTTGCATGCAAGTGCTACTCCGTGAGTGGGTTTGATTATTGCGTGCACCCAGCTTTTGTTGGGTTGCCCGCCGCGGACTGGTGCATTTTTTTTACGAAAGGAGGGCATGTCTTGCGCAGGCATGTCGTTGTTTACGTAATTATGATTGTTTGCCTTCTCGCAGTTTGTGGATGTTCAGCGCCTCGAGTGGGTTCGCTTATATTCGCTTGCACGTGCAGCTTAGACTTCTACGCTACGTGTGCACGGGCTGGGCTGGTGGCCAACACATTTGGAACTGCTGAGCCTCCAGCTGGCCGTGGTATCCTTCAGGCACTCTTCTGTGCCAGTGCGGGCAACGTGGTCTGCGGTTGGCAACCCCTTGTCCACAGCAGTCGCAGAAGAGGAGGAGCAAGGCGAGGAGGATGAGATAACATGTGGAAAGGAGAAAGGAGGGTGGGGGATACCCACGTCTGGAATGCTCGGGTATGTTGGGGAATTCAAGGGGTGGCTTCTATGCATTCTCTTCTCGTCTCTCTCTCTCTCTCTATGTGCAGGTTGTGTCCACCTCTACGTATCCCTTCTCTGCACCCTCCTCACCCTTCTTCTCCTTACCATGCTTCCCCGCCCCCACCCAATCCGCCTCCCGCTCCTCCTCCTTTTCCTCCTTCTCCTCCTCCTCCTCCTCCTCCTCCCCATCGGCTCTCCCCGTTGTTGCCCCCACCCCGCCGACGGCGGTGGTGGCAGCGGCTGCGGCGATCACGACGACGACGGCTGACGACGGCTGACGACGGCCGACGACGACGACGACGATGACGACGACGACGAAACGGCGACGACGCGACAACGCGCAGCTGCGCCTAGAGGAGCGACCGCGTTCTTCATCGACAACAAGGCACGCATGACGATCCCAAGCGGCTTCGGCGACCAGGCCTCGCTGCCCCCCCTCGGCCGCGACACCGTGGCGCTGCGCCTCGCGACGACGACGACGACGAAGTCGACGACGACGATGACGACGACGACGACGTCGACGACGACGCACGTCCGGCCGCGGGCGCCCCTTGGGGCCACCGCTCGTGGTGGGCAGCCTTCGCTGCCGGCGCCCAGCTCGCGTGTCGGGCATCTGGCGTGGTCGCCACTTCCGCCTCTCTCGCCACCGCCAGAACGCACTCAGACTCAGGCCCCCTGGCGTCGTCAACAAAAGCCAAAGCCACGACAGAAGCCCCTAAAAACACGAAATTTTGAGTGAGATAGACTGTCTGATGATCTGAACTCACACGTGCCCGAATTGATTGCTGCATGCCCCAAGGAGGGTAACACACACGCAGCGTGCAATTGTGGCCTGCTCAGGACAGGTGCGATTGAAAGTTAGCGGCAAGCGCCTGACTTAAAGTTAGCTGCAAGCGCCTGGGAAGAGACAGTGCCTGAGAAGACAGTTAGGCGCACAGCAAGAGGTGAAAACCTACTCAGGTGGTAGGGCGTGAGCCCACCCGACAAAGAGGTCACTGGAACCCCGCGGGCAGGAAGACACTCGACACCCCGTGGTGGCGCGTGTGAAAGAAAAGGAGGTGAAAACTGGCACCCCACTTGACAAACTTAAGATGGGCCTGCGAACATGCGGTATCGATGCACGTCCAGAAGCGTTTAGGGGCCCTGACGCGGACGTTAAACAACCCAGCTCAACAGAGCACTTTTAAAATTTCGAGCGGGAAACTCGCCGCGAGTGCCCCGACCTGGCCCATGGAGCCCAAACAGCAACATTGACGATCATGCCCAGGCCCATTGCCAGCAAGCATGCCCTGGCCTCCGACGGAGGCCAGCAATCATGCCCGGACGCACAGACCAGCAATCAGGAGTGACGCCATAAGGGTGGTCCTAGGGCCCAGCGACCACCGCAATCGGCACGGCCCGAACTCGGTACGGTGCGTCGCCTGACCACGGTGACTGCATTGCGTTGTGGAGCACTTTGGCCCCTATTCGGGATGCCACTCCCCGTAGAGCAGCTCTGTAGACGCTGCGGTCGGGCAAGGGCCCTCAGCCACTCGCAGGCCTACAGGTTGACACCAACACCAATATCGGCGGTGCGCGTCCACCGAGGTAAGAAGATTTCGATCTCGGTGATGGTGGTAATGTTATGGCTTCTAGGGTGACCAAAATATTACCACCAACACCGAAATCTAGGATCATCTTCCCCCTGTGGAGGCAACCCATTGTTTTTGTGTTGGTGCTCACTTCCAGGTCTCCGAGCCACGGCCGCCCGGAGCGGCGTTTTAGGGGGTGGGTGCTGGCGCGCCGCCCGCGGCCCCTGAGTGGCCTGACAGAAGCCTGGCATCGCTCGGGCGTGTGCATTTTTTTCTCGGCGGGGACCATCGAGGACCATCCTGGACCATCGAGCAACAGAAAACGCACGCACGAAGCCGAAAGATGCACGGGAAATGGACGTCCAAGCGATGCCGAGGAAGCCCCTGGGGGCCCTCGCCGGGCCCCTGGCCCGTGCAAAGAAGGATTCGGAGCGAAAATCTGGCCCTGGGGCACGGGTCCGTGGAAGCGATCACCCAGGCCCTGTGACACGAACAGGGAGGGACGTTTTGCCAGACTGTTTGTTCTGGGCCTCCCAGATGGGGTCGGAGTAACTAGATGGGGTCGGAGGATCGCGCCACATCGCCGATGCATTGCCGATGCTGCTCGATGTGGAGCCCGATTTGCTTCACGTCGACGTCGCCGACCTATCGCCGACGTGGTCGATACATCGCCGATGCATCGGTAATACATCGACGGTTCGGTGCAGTCCTTCGACCCCATCTACTCGGACCCACTCTGGGAGGCCTCTAGTGACAGCGGCTTGCGCGCTCGGGTCTGGCCCTCTTCCAATCCGCGCACCGAAGATCACTGCTGCCCGGGGTCGCTCGCGCGTGTCGCCGAAAGGCTGTCTCAGTCTCGGAGGCCTCGAGGCTGGCACCAGCACCAAAAGTGGCGGCTGCATCCACCGATGGATAAAGAACTCCTCTTTCGGTGATGGTGGTCATGCACAGGCTTCCCAGGTGGCCAGAATATTGTAGAGGCCTCCGGCCTGTGCCGCCGATCCAGGACGCTCCGTGCGTTCGCGTCCTGTTATGTAGCTTGTAAGGTGTACCTCGAGGAGGCAGGAGGGAGGACGAGGAGGGAGGAGAGATGAGGAGGAGGAGGAGGCGGAGGAAGAGGAGGAGGTGGAACAACAATGACGAGTGGGAGGACGGGTTTATCAGTCGCCTTCGGCAGTGAGCGTGTGTGTTGACAAGAAAGTTTGCGTCTTGCCCGTCGGTCGAGCTTGTTGACGGGCAAGTTCCCGGACGGGTTGGCTCGTTGGTGGGTCGTCGGGCGGGTCGTAGCATGGATATGTCATGGTATATTGTTTCTTCCCGTCATGTATATCTTCTCTTCTCGAAGACGCCTCTGGCGAATCACTACCGCCCCTGCCTTTTTGGAAGCGCAGGTGCGGCCGAACGTTCGGATAGAGCTACCGGACCCTGTGTTCCCCCCAGCCGTCGTTCAGACCTTTCGGGGAACACGTGAAGAAGAGGAGAATGAGGAGACGAGGGAAAAGGGGAGTTGGAGAAGGACGGATAATAGTAGGAGGAGGAGGAGAAGGAGGAGGACGCTTCTTGGAAGCCTCTTGGGGCATTCTTGGGCTCTCCTGGGAGCTTCCTTGGGGCCTCTTGGAGGCCTCTTGGTGGCATCCTTGGGCCTCTTAGGGGGCTGTTGTGGGCTTGCTCGGGGTCTCTTTGGTCGTCTTAGGGCGTTCCTGGCCCGTCTGCCGCTGTCGGAAGCCGCGTTGGGGGCCTCTCTGAACCGACTTGGTGCCTTCTTAGGGGCGCTCCAGGGCCGTCCTGGAGGTCATCTTCGGCGTCTTAGGCCTCTTGGGGCACTCTTGGGGCCGTCTCGGGGACCTCTTGGGCCGTTCTGGGGTCATTTTGGAGGCCTCTATGGCAATATTTGGGAGCTCTGGGGCCGTCTCGGGCTGTCGGAGAGCCGAAAAGACGCAAACACCAACATCCTTCAAACACAAAATGAGCATTACTGATTGAAGCCTCTTCGGGCCTTCCTGAAGGCCTCTTGGGCCGCCTTTGAGGCCTCTTGGGCGCCTCTTGGGCCATCTTGGAGCCATCTTGGGCTGTCTTGGCGGCTTTTTGGGTGGATTTGGAGGCATCTTGGACCCTCTTGGGCCGTCCTGGAGGCCATCTTGGATTATCTTGTGCGAACTTGGAGGCCATCTCGGGCCATCTGGGCAGTCTTGGAGGCCATCGAGGCCGTCTTGAAGCCCTAGGGGGAATTTCAAAACGAACCAACAAACACATGAAATGTTGCACGCCGGGCGCCCCTCTGGCAAAGCAACGGGGGGCGGCGGATCGAAGACGCCTGCGGCGAATCACCGCCGCCCCCTGCCTTCCGGAATCGCCCATGTGGCCGAACGTTGCGGCACGAGCTTTGCCAAGCTAGCCGTTGCGGAAACCCTTCGGGGAACATTTGGGGGAGGATGGCGGGAAAGATCAGGAGGAGGAGGAGGAGGAGGAGGAGGAGGAGGAGGAGGAGGAGGCATCTTCGGAGCCCCTGGGGGCACTCGGGGGGCCTCCCGGGAGCTTCCTGGGAGCCTCCTCCTCGCAGCGCGGGGGCTGGCCGTCGGTCCGCGCTGGTGCAGCCGGTCGGCACCAGTAGAGGGGGGGGTGGCTCGTCCAGGCTCGTGGGTGCCCATGGGTGGAGCTTTTTCGGTGGACGCTCGGCCTCCTGATCCTCCCCGTCCTCGCTCTCCTCCTCGTGCGCCTCCGCTGCTCTCATCTTCCCCGTTATCCTCTTCCAGGGGCGAGGGCGGGATCTCGAACCCCGACTTGGAGTCTTCTGGTCGGGGTCGGTCGGGGAGAGCTCGGGGGTCTCGGATCGCGATGGCGGGGACCTCGGGGGCCTCCCCGGGTTGCAGGACGGTGCCTCTTGGACGCCCTTGATGCCTCCCTGGGAGGCAGCCCTGGCCGAAGCAGCCCGAGCCTCCCCAGAGGCCCCCGCGCCCGCTCTCTGAGGGCCGCGCCCGCGCCCGCCCCCCCCCCCCTGGGCGCGCCGCCGGGACGAGGCCGCCTTCGCCCTCAAGATTGGCCTCCTGCTTTTTTCCTTGTGCATCGAGTACAGCATCCTCTTCTCGCCGCCCGCCAGCAGGGAGGAGGCCGAGAAGGCGGGGCGGGCGGAGGGGGCGTCGCGCGGGGGGGTCCGACGAGGAGGAGGAGGAGGAGGAGGAGGAGGAGGAGGAGGAGGAGGAGGAGGAGGAGGGAGGAGGATCAGCCACGCGCAGAGGAGGGTGGGGGGAGGGGAGGGCTTCTTAGAAGCGCCCCTGCCTCTTAGAAGGCGCGGGCCGTATCTGTAGATGTAAGGTCCGGCGCCTTCCAAGAAGCAGCCTCCTTCTAAGAAGCCCTCCCCCCTCTCTCCAACCCCTCGTGCGCGCCGCCAACAGGAGGAGGAGGAGGAGGAGGAGGAGGAGGAGGAGGAGGAGGAGGACGAGGGAGGAGGAGGAGGGGGAGGATGAGGAGGAAGGGGAGTAGGAGGAGGAGGAGGAGGAGGAGGAGGAGGAGGAGGAGGAGGAGGGGAGGAGGAGGAGGAGGAGGAGGAGGAGGAAGAGGAGGAGGAGGGGGGGGCACGTTGGGAGCGCTTACTGTGCTGCCTCGCGGTTCGATATTGAAACTGGCAGGCGGAGGGAGGAATTCGGGAGGAGATTGGGGGAATCGGATGGGAAGGATGGGTGGAGGAGGAGGAGGAGGAGGAGGAGGAGGAGGAGGAGGAGGAGGAGGAGGAGGAGGAGGAGGGGCAGCGGCCAGAGCAGGACGAGGCCTGTGAGAGGCCTGTGAGAGGCCTGTGAGAGGGGATGAGAGGGAAGGAGGGAGGCGAGGGTGGTGGAGGAGGAGGAAGAGGAGGAGGAAACCACGAGTAGGTGAAGGAGGAGGAGCAGGAGGAGGAGGAGGAGGAGGAGGAGGAAGAGGAGGAGGAGGAGGAGGAGGAGGAGGAGGAGGGGAGGGGGAAGGGGGATGGAGGCGAGGCCGGAGAGGCTTGAGGGTGGGGAAGGAGCAGGGGTTTAGCATGTTGGGGAGGGGGACGGGAGAGTCGGAGCACGGGGAGATAGGGAGGGAGTGGGGCAGAGGCAGAGGTTGCTATATATATATCTATATATATAGATATATATATATAAAAATAGAGAGGAGAGAGAGAGAGAGAGAGAGAGAGAGAGAGAGAGAGAGAGAGAGAGAGAGAGAGAGAGAGCGAGAGAGAGGGTGAGAGGGAGAGGGTTGAGAGTGATACATTCCTAGTCTGGTATGTCAGAACCATCCTGTGGCGTTGAGTCCCCGTTTTGAATCAGCAGCGCCCCGCGTCTCCCATCCCGCCTCCCCCCTCCTCCCATCCCGACTGTACCTCTGCCCTCCGCACGTCCGCATCGTCATCATAGTGGAGGAACGGTGTCGGGGATGAGGAAAATGTGCGGAGGGGGGGACCCAATATGCGCCTGGCGCGTGCGCGCAGGGCACGTGTTTTCACGTGCCCACGGCCCCCAGGGGGAGACCCAACATGCGCCTGGCGCGGGCGAGCGGGGCACGTATCCTCACATGTCCACCGCCCCCAGCGAGCTGTACGTACGTGTAGAAATGTGTGCGCGGAGGGGGCGGCCCAACATGCGCCTCGCGCGTGCGCGCTGGGCACGTGTTTTCACGTTTCACGTGTCCACACGGCCCCCATACCCTGAATAGTTCTGGGTCCCCGGGCTGCAGGTACCTCCCCCCGTACTACAGGTACCCTCCCCCTGAGTTGCAGGCACCCCTCTCCCGGACTACAGATACCTCCCCCGGGACTGCCCCCCCTGGACTACAGTACCCCCCCCCCAGACTACAGGTATTCCCCCAGGACTACATCCACGCGTGCGATGATGCGTGTGCACGCGTTCCCCCCTAGACTGCAGGTACCCCACCCCGGACCACAAACACCCAAATTACAAGTTCCCCACCCCAGACTATTGGTACCCCCCCCCGGGACTACAGGTACCCCTCCCCGGACTACAGATACCCTTCCCAGATTACAGGTACCACCAGATTTATTGAGAGTCACAAGAGTACACATATGTGCGCGAAGGGGGGGACCCAATATGCGCCTGGCGCGTGCGCGCGGGACATGTATTTTCACGTGTCCACGGCCCCCAGGACGTGCAGGAGGTAGTGACAGCATCCAAGCAAAGGGAAAGTGACCGAGTTCGTGGATCCCTCAAGTTTTTTTGACGGCCCCGGCGGCCCAGGGCCCAGCGAAGGCTTCCGCAGGCCAGAAACGGTCACAGATTCCCCGCCGCTGTCCTGGGTACAGAATCGTCGGTGCCCTATCGTTGATCGAGGGCTGTGGCTGAGCTGTGGAAGGGAGGTGATCGAGGGACGAAGCTCGATGGTCGAGGATCGAGGGTTGTGAGGGTCCAGGATTGACGGTCGAGGATCGCGAGGATCGAGCGTCGAGGGTCGACGAGGTCGAGGATCGATGGCCGAGGTTTGCTGCAGCGCTCTCCGATCCTGGGCTGGGCGGGCGGAGCGGCCGGACCAAGACAGACAGGGCAGGAGGCAGGCGTGGCGCGGAGGGTGCAGACGGAAGAGGCCGCTGCCCCGCCGGGCGCCCTGTGCAGGGATAGCCTGAATCTGCACGAACGAAATTCGGGGGCGGAAAAGATGGGGGTGATGACTAGGGGAGGGTGGATATCATGGCGGGGGTCATGATATTTCCGCAGATTTCATGGCGCCTCTTCTTATTTCATTACGTTCCTGGCCCCCCCGCTGGGCCGCGCACATGCCGCCGGTCATGATTTGCACCCCCCCCTCTTGGACACCCCCCTCTTGGCCGCTCCCGAGAAATTTGCACGGAAAGAACGGGTACAGTGCGCCACAGCGGATCTTGCTCATCTTGAACACGACTCGCTGTCGGTGTCGCCGCGGCCTGTGTCCATTCGAGACAGAAGGCCGCCTGGCCAACAGCGGCCGCTGTTGGTTTGGGACAACTTTTGCTGTTGGGCATTGTACCCATTCTTTCCGTACCCATTTCGGGCGTCCAAACTTAAGTCGGGCACGCCCCTCTGCAGGAGGGATGTTCAACAGCAGTCGAAACACAGTCTGGGTAAGCTTTGTCTACTATGTACTCTTGTTATGTAAGAATTTGCTTGTACAGTCTTTTCCTTCCAGAATCCGCCTGTGGGTGGACATGCCCGACCTAAGGATAGCCCCGGGGAAGGCCCTCAAGATACGGAGGACGACGACGACGAGGACACGAGCCCAGAGGGGCGGCGAAGGATGATCCTGAGATCCGACGTTGGGAAACAATGGCAGGATCGTGAAGAGCTGGATCGAGTCCGAAGCTGGGCGAGTCGTACGCCCGTTGGGGAAAATATGCAATGCCAGGATCTCGGGGGAACGAACGAACGAACGAACGAACCACCACTGCGGACAGCTGTCTGGGCCTACTCAAGACCTGGTGCGGCATGCCGTGGCCTCCTGAAACTTGCATGCATGGACTACACGCAAGCACGCATGTGATCAGTGAGACGATAACAAATGTTGACGGAAGAAGGGAGGAGGGGAGGAAGCCCGGAATGTGGATGTCGGCGTATTGTCGTTACGTGGGGTGTACGTATTGCCGTTCGAGTGTCGACCAGGTGGAGATGTCTAGAGCTGTGCGAATCCAGGTGAAGTCGTTTGGTTGACCTGGTGTAGTTGGCGTGAGCGTTAGATGCTGGTCGGGGTTGCTTGGTTGGAACTTGACGTCGTCCTCCCAGCGTTTGCGCTGGCCGCCTTGCTGTCGCTGTCCGCGTTGGCGTGGATTCTCTCCTGATTGCCAGTGGAGTGCACGCCCCGTCCACCTGGTGGAGTCATGGTTAGCAACCCTCGACGCCATGCGCCACGACCTCTGTCTGCGAATCGTCTCCCAGTTTGCGACCTGATGGTGCTGCATTTCCTTCTCTGCACGCCGTGTTGCTCGCTGAATGTACTCGACACAAGGCTCTAACGTGTCCTCGTTGTCGTAGTCGTCGTCGTCGTCGTTGTTGCTCTCGCTGTGCCAGTCTGTTGCGTCTTGCTGTGCTGCGTGGCTGTCTGCGTCGTAGCTGCTGTCGGTTGCGTTGGGATCGTCGCCATCTGCTTCGTTGGTCGTGCCGTCCTCCATGCCGCTTTGGTTATTGCGAGGGATTGTGCGGTGAGTCGTGCGTCGCCGTGTCGTTCTGATGATCATGCGGAGCATGCGTCGCTGCGTTCGTCGCAGGTGTTGCCGGAGAGGTTCCGCAAGCGTCCAGGTCTCTGCTCCGTACAGTGCCGTAGGCGTTACTGTGCTTTGAAAAGTCGAAGCCTGTGTGCCAACGGGTAGTGCTCGCTGGTCAGCTCCTCTTTGCGTGAGGTAAATTTTGTCCATGCGGCTCTCGTGCGGTGGTGGATCTCTGTCTCCATCGCGCCGTGGAAGCTGATGAGTTGACCGAGGTATTTGATTTTGCCTTCGAGTGGCAAGATGCCTATGTCCATGCCCGCAACGCGCGCCATGCGCGAGCTCGCCCTGCCGGTCCGTCTCGTCTGGTTGCTCAGCATCTTCGTTTTCGAAGCGTGCAGCTCGAGTCCGTGCGGTTGCGCCGCGCGCGCAATGTCTTCGAGCATCGTGGTGATGCGCGGAAGAATCTGGCTAGTCAAGAGAACGTCGTCGGCGAATCGAAGATGGGTGAGTGTGGTGGCGGTGGTAAGCCCCAGCTGAACGCCCTTGCCCTTCTTTTGCCATTTGGTGATCAGCGGTTCGAGAATGTGTTGTAGAAGAGCGTTAAAGAGAAAGGAGTTGAGCGGGTCCCGTTGTTTCGTGCCCCGTAAAAGGCTGAAGGGCCGGCTGGTTACGTCCGTCTTGACTGTGGCTTCCTGTCCCTCGTGCAACTGCTGGAGTAGAGAGATGTATCCTGGCTGGACACCTTGCGCCTTGAATGCTGCCCATATGCTCTCGTGCTCGACCGTGTTAAAAGCCCCATTGAAGTCGAGCGCAGCAACCCACAAGTTCTGGTTCCATTCGTGCGCACGCTCTCGAAGAATATGAAGTGTGAAGAGGTGGTCAGTGGTCGAATGTCCCAGTCTGAAGCCTGCTTGGTCAGCTGTCTGTCGAGAATCGAGTGCTGGTTGGAGTCGGTTGTAGAGTAGCCTGCTGAAAAGCTTGTAAAGCAGTGCATATAGGGCGGTAGTTTGATGAAGCGTGAGATCCCCACTTTTTGGAATTATCGTGACAACTGTGCTCTTCCAGCTGGCCGCTGGCGGAGCGTTGTATTGCAGGATCGTGTTGTAGAGGTGTAGCAATGCCTCTTTGAGTTCTCCCGTGCCTTCTTTCAGCATCTCTGCTCGGAGGCCTTTGGTGTCGGAGGCTTTACCAAGGCGGAGCCCTCTGATCGCCTTGTCTAATTTTGTTGTTGTTGTGAAAGGTGGGAGGTCGTCGTCAGGTCGCTCCGGCTGCGTCGTCTCTGCCGTTGAGTCGTGAAGGTGCTCGTAGAATTGTGCGAACATGTCAGTGATGTCTTGTCTTATCGTACGTGTGGCGCCGTCTTTGTCTGTCATGTGCGTGATGAGAGTTTGCTTTCTACGTGTTTTGATGCGCGTGATTCTCTTCAAGTCTCTGAACTGGTCGAGCACGTAGCTTATATGAGCTCGTCGTTTCCTCCGCTTCTGCGCACGGATCTCATGCTGTATAAAATTGCTCAACTGCTTGCGAGTTTGGTGGTCGCTGTTTGGTGTCTGGTGACGCTGCTCTAGTAGGGAGTGCAATCTCTCTTCTCCTCTGTCAGGCGGGCGGTTTCCTAGTGGCTCCCCAGCAGTGCTGGCAGCAACGGCCCTGATGATAACGTTTTGGATGTGGTCGCTCAGTGCTTGTGGGTCGGATGGTAATTTCTTGGTGCAGTCGTGGACGCTGGTGCTCGCGGTAGACGCTTGTGTTGGTGATTTGTCCTGTCGGTCGGGGTGCCGAAGATGAGTGCTGACGTCGCTTGTCGTCGTGGCGTGGTCGTTTCGTTCCCATGGATTCTTGTATCTTCAAGTCGGTGAGAACAGCCTTGTGTCGGATCCTAAGTCGGACGTTTTTTTGGCCTCAGCGTTCGTTCAGTGTCGGAAACATTTGCGGCTCAGCAGTCTGTAGTCGAGTTGCTTCTCGTTGTTGCCGCTGGTGTACGTTATTTGCGTGTGCGCTGGCTCGCGGAAGAATGTGTTCGCGATTATAAGTTTTTTCTTGTGTTGCCCAATGTCGTATCCAGGTGCCTCTTGAGTTTTCGTTCCCATAACCGTGGCGGCCAACGCATCTTGAGGTGACGCGGTCGTCGTCGGCGTTGTCGTTGTCGTTGTCGTTGTCCTCAGACATGGTGGATGCCCCAACCTGCGCGTTGAAGTCGTTGGCGAGAATGATGGGACGTCGTGTTTTGGTGCTCTCTCTCTGTGGATCTCGTGGATAGCGCCGTACATGCGCTGAGCATGCGGGTCGATGTAACCACAGTGTGGGAAGTACGCCGACACCAATTGCAGTTTCAGTCGTCCCCTTTGCAATAACATCGTGCTTGTCCCAACGCTTGTGCACGAGAACTGCAACTCCATGACACGTCTGTTCGTTGCCAGATCCAGCGAAAGTGTGTCCCTCCGTGGTTGTCCGTAGCTCCGTCGCCGTCGTTCTCAACGTCTCATTGATGAGCACGAAATCCCAATGTACGCCTGTCAACTTCTGTGATGAAAACTTGGATTCGGTCGTCAATCGTCAGTGACCGGGCGTTTTTGTGAATGACCGCCAGCTCGAGTTGGTCGGTGGGGTCGCTGCTGGTCGGTGGGGTTCGGTGCTGCTTGCGGTGGAGCTGCTGGTCGGTGGTTGTCGGTGGTGGGTGGTGGTTGCTGCTGGTCGATTGGAGTCGCTGCTGCTTGTTGTGGTGCTGCTGGTCGGCGCTGGTCGGTGGCGAGTGCTGTCTGGCGGTGTTGGTCGGTTGGGGTCGGTCCTGCTTGTGATGCTGCTGGTCAGTGGTCGGCATTGGTCGGTGGAGTGTGCTGGTCGGGTAGGGTTGGCGCTGCTTGCGTTGGTGCTGCTGGTCGGTGCTCGTCGGTGGTGGGTGGCGCTGGGAGTTGCTGGTCGGTTGGGGTCGGTTCTGCTTGTGTTGGTGCTGCTGGTCGGTGCCGGTCGATGGTGGGTAGTTGCTGCTGGTAAGTTGGAGTCGCTGCTGTTTGTCGTGGTGCTGCTGGTCGGCGCTGGTCGGTGGCGAGTGCTGTCTGGCGGTGCTGGTCGGTTGGGGTCGGTGCTGCTTGTGATGCTGCTGGTCGGTGGTCGGCGTTGGTCGGTGGAGCGTGCTGGTCGGGTGGGGGGCGCTGTTTGTGGTGCTGCTGGTCGGTGGTCTGCGTTGTTCGGTGGAGCGTGCTGGTTGGGTGATGTCGGCGCTGCTTGCGGTGGTGTGGCTGGACGGTGCTGGTGTTGTCTGCTGGTTGTTGGTTGCCGCTGCCGGTGGTGGTGCTGACTGGTGGAAAATGCACGCTGGTACGTCGCCGTCTGCGTGTGGGAGGGGGGGGGCGAATGCCACCACCGACCAAACCACCCCAACCCAACCCAAAGGCCCCAATGTGCCCTCCACTCCCAGTGGGAGGGGGGCGTCGGGGAACATTGACAAGAACACGCAGAGACAAACCCGTACCCCCCCAACCCGAACTTGGGTTCTTCGGGCTTGGTTATGGTGGGCAGGTCTCTGGCAGGTGGTCAGAATGACGCGGCCCTGGGGGGAGAGGGAAGCAGCGCAGGCCGGGTGTTGCTAGAAGTGCCCCTGGCCCGAGGTGTCCCCAGGATGTCCAAGTAGGCCCCGGCGGCCTCCAGAGCACCCCTCACGAGGTCCCGAGGGCCCCGGGAGCTCCCAAACTCAGCGACAAGCCGGGGGCACCTCGGGCCCGGGGCACTGTCAGCAGCCCCCGGGCAGGGCCCTCGCGGTGCCCGGCGGCAGCGGCGACCGAGCAGGGCCGCGGCCTCCGCGCGCCCCGCCCCGCGGCCGGAGGCGGAGCGGCGAGGCAGCCTCCGCGAGTGGGCCTGCATGCTCTGCGGCGGGCGGGGCGGGGCGCGTCGCCGCCCAGCGCGGCGCTGCGTCTGCGACTGCGCTCCTGGGGGGCCCCCCGAGCGGCCCCCGAGCGGCGTGGTGGCCACCCCGCGTGTCAGAGGAGGGCATTACCAGCCTGGAGCATATCCTATCCCTATGCTGGGCACCTCCTCATCACGATGCCAATCTTTGGGATTCCCATATTTTTTGAGGGCGAATCCCTGAGATTGTCATCGCCTTTTGGCGTGTCAATCTTAGGGATGGGGATACGTTCGAGGCTGGTAAGGACAGGGGGGCCGAGACCGCCACCATTGCTTCGTGTTCCCCTTTGGGGGCCTCCTGGGGGGCCCTCGCCGCCACCGCTGGATCCGCCCCGACGTTCTGGTCAGAACGCGCCCTGGGAGAGTCTGGGGAGCAGTAGCATCGTCACCTGTTGGTTTCCCCAGCGCGGTGAGATCGTGCGGGTTCGGGGTCGCCGCACGGTCTGGGGACTCGGGTCGTTCTCCGCGGGCGTCTCGGGCGACCGGGGCCTCTCCGAGGTCCCTGGGCCGTGCTGTGTCAGGAGGGGAAAAAGACACAGACACAAGTAATCGTTGATCCCTCAGGAAATTATGGGAAAATATAGGAAGTGGGGGGGAAGACAAAAACGCAGGAAATATTGACAAATGCGAGGAATCCGGCTACTTGTGTATATTTACGTATTTGTATGTCCCAGCGCCCCTTCACGGTGGCGGGCCGCGCGGCGAGGTCCCTGTAGACGTCGAGGTCGCGCGCGCGGTCTGTCGCCACGTGGTATTGGGGACCGCCGGGCTCTGCTCGCCGCGCCGCCCTCAGCTCCGCGCGTTGCCAGCACGAGTCGTGGCGACCTGTGTTCGGCGTCACCCCAACATACTCATACTGCATGTGCGTCGCCCCCCCCCCCCCCCAGGGGCGACGCGCGCACCGAGAAGTCTTACAGTATATTCGTCGTGGCGGCCGGTGTCTGGCCACACCGCTCGGGAAACGATATACTGCAAGCTGGCTATGCTATATGTTCGGGTCGGACGCGCGCCTCCAAGGAGGACATATAGTATTAGTATGTCCCTGTGCGTCCCATATGTTTCGTGGTTTCCCCCCGCCCCCCCCCTGCGGCCG